TTGAATGTATCTATTGGAGCAGTATTGTGGATTGATGAATTTTGACGTTGGAAATTGTTGTTGTTGTTGTTATTGTTATTGCTATTGTTGCTGGAGAAACCATCGTTGTTGTTATTATTGTTATTGGTGTTGAATAAAAATTTATTTACATAAAAACTGAGTAATAAACCGATGATTGCAACAATAAATAAATATAAAATTTCTAAATAATTCATTTTATTAAACTATTGTTATGAATAATAGTGATGCGAAAGGTGATTTGCAAGCTATTATTTATTGATAGTTGTAATTATTTAATTTATATAAAATGATATTGATGTTATTAAATTTTATTATTGTATTTTTTATTATATAAAAGTTAAATGTAAAAAAATATTTGTATGTAAATAAAATATTAAAGAAAAAAAATAAAAAATTTCTTTTGTAATGAAAATTAAAAAAAAACCATTAAATTAAATTTTAAATTTTAAATTTTAAATTTCAAAAAAAAAAAAAAAAAAAAAAAATTTTGAAATTTTATAAAAAAAATGTGGTTTCCCACACAAGGTTTTTTATTAGTGGTATGAATTAAACAGTGGCTCCACAAAAGGAAAAAGTAAATGCACAATTTACGAACATCATGATTATCAAAAAAAAAATTTATTTTATTACAAATTTTAACCATGATTTTAATTTGATACGGGACAACTTTAATTTAAAGTTAACATATTTATTACAATGACAAATCAAATAATATACTGAATTATATTTGATTACTAAAAAGTTGGTGTATTTAATATTAATTGTGTAATTAAAAAAAAATTAAAAAAAAAAGGAAATGAATTATTTTGAAAATAAAAAAAAAATAAAAAAAATCAACTACCACTTCTATCTCTGATATATGTTTTTTTAAAACAATTTTATCTTTATAATATTTTAATATATATATTTATTTAATTTTTTATATTATCATCTTTTTATTTTTTAAAAAATATTGTATTTAAATATTTTATAAAAAAAAAAAAAAAAAATTAATTTTCTTTGTTTTTTTTTGACTAATTAAAAAAGCAATAACAAATATATATAAATTACTGTATACATAATGTAAAATAATCAATGAAACTTTAAATTTTGTGTATATCATATAATATAATAACTATTTAAATTTTTCTATTGAAAAAATTTATAAAATGCTTTAATTTTTTTTTAATAATCACGATGTTCACAAATTGGGCATTTACTTTTGCGGAAACCCAGTGTATAATTCATTCCACCAAAAAAAAAACCTTGTGTGGGAAATCACATTTTTTTATAAAATTTCAAATTTTTTTTTTTTTTTTTTTTTTTGAAATTTAAAATTTAAAATTTAAAATTTAATTTTATGTTTTTTTTTTAATTTTCATTCCAAAAAAAAATTTTTTATTTTTTTCTTTAATATTTTATTTACATACAAATAATTTTTTACATTTAACTTTTATATAATAAAAAATACAATAATAAAATTTAATAATATCAATATCATTTTATATTAATTAAATAATTACAACTATCAATAAATAATAGCTTGCAAATCACCTTTCGTATCACTATTATTTTATAAAAATAGTTTAATATAAAATGGATTATTTAACAATTTTATATTTTTTTATTGTTGCAATCATCGGTTTATTACTCAGCTTTTATGTAAATAAAAATTTATTCAACACCAATAACAATAATAACAACAACGATGGTTTCTCCAGCAACAATAACAATAACAATAACAACAACTGCCAACATCAAAATTCACCAATCCACAATACTGCCCCAATAGATAGACAAGAAAGTCTACAACAACAACAACAACAACAACAACAACAACAACAACAACAACAACAACAACAACAACAACAACAACAACAAAATCAATTTTCAAATCCACAACCACAACTACCACAACAACAATCGCCATCACAGCCACAATCACAATCAAAAAGCACTGTATCAACCCCTGGTATTAGAAAACTATTTAAAGATCTTGATGAATATGAAAGACAACAACAAGAACAAGAAGAGCCAGAACAATCTCAACAATCTCAACAAAGTTCTCAAATCCAACAACAATTTCCATCAAAGGGAACAAGCCAGCCATTACACATCTTTTTGATAGAAATTCAATCTCGTTATACTGCCCAGTGCGTTATGTTCAACCAACCAATCAAACCACAAACAACGCCCACAACCATCACACTCATCATCAAAGTGCTCAGAACTCCCCCAACATTAAATAGAGCACATTCTCGTACCGCTGTTGATGCTCCACCAACCACTGAACCACAACAACACCCACACCCAACTCATTCATGGCCAAGTGCTCAGAATTACCCATCATTAAATAGAGCACATTCTCGTTATACTGCCGCTGCCAATGCTACACCAACCACTCAACCACAACAACGCCCTCAACCAACACATTCATCATCAAGTGCTCAAAGTTACCCAACATTTAATAGAGCACATTCTCGTACCGATGTTGATGTTCCACAAACCACTCAGCCAGAACAACACCCAAAACCAACTCACTCATCATCAAGTGCTCAGAGCTACCCAACATTCAATAGAGCACATTCTCGTACTGCTGCTAATGTTTCAACAAACACTCAACCACAACAAAACCCACAACCAACCGATTCATCTTCAAGTGCTCAGAACTATCCATCATTTAATAGAGCACATTCTCGTAACGCTGTTGATACAAATCCACCAAATCCATCACCAACTTTTAATTCAACAGGTGTCCCAACATCAGCAAGAAACACTCCAATGAAGAAGAGATCATTAGAGTCTGATGATGAAGAAGATTTAAGAAATAACATGGGAACTAAAAAAAGACATAGATACGAAGATGAAGAAGAATTAAAAAGGGTTCAAAAAGAAAAGGAACGTTTAGAGTTGGAAAGATTGGAAAGGGAAAAGGAAGAGATGGAAAGAATAGAAAAAGAGCGTGAAGAAAAAGAACGTGAAGAAAAAGAAAGATTAGAAAAAATAGAAGAAGAGGAACGTATAAAAAAAGAACAATTAGAAAAGGAAAGAATGGAAAAGGAACAAGAACAAGAACAAGAACAAGAGGAACAGGAAGAACAAAAAGAAGAAGACAATAAATGCTACATTTGCATGGAAGATATGGAGACCGATAGCATCGCCACCATTGACTGCAACCACAAATTCTGTTTTGATTGCATGGATACATGGCATAAAATTAAAAATACTTGCCCATTATGTAGAGCAAGATTCTATACCATTAAAGTAAGTAAATTCATACATTTATATTTATACTTAATAAATAAAAAAATATATATTAATTTTTTTTCATTTTATAACTGTAGAGAGCCGGTCATGATCCAATCATAGTAGGCGATGTTGAGAATAGAGCCCATGAACAAGAATTAGATTACAATTTCCTTGATGATCCCGATAATTTAGAAAATGAAAATGATAATGATAATGGTTCCGATGATGAATTCAGTGGTGACATGGACCAAGTTTATCACCATTTATTGCGTCGTCGTTTTGTTCATAACATTTACGAACCAATATTTGATGATTATATAAATATGAATTAATAGTGAAATTGGTGGCGATTAAATTAATAATTTACGTACTTTATTCGTAGTTTCATTAAACGAATTTGATGAAGTCCTTATTATTAATTAACTCGTTTCATTCATAGTTTCATTGATAGATTCCAATTCCATTTATATACATCATCCGAAAATTTTCAAATAAGTTCAAAACTGTCAAATCATTATCAATATTTTAATAACAAATATATCATCATATTGTTCAGCTCTACAAAAGAAGAAAAGCAAATTTATAATAATATTAAATGTTCCAGTTCCAAATAATTATATAGAAATCAAAAAAGGTAACTATAAAAATAACATTTAAATAATTCATATATTTAAAAAAAAAAGAAACTAATATTTAACTTTAATTCTTATTTAGCCTAATTCCAATTCTTTATTCCTCAATATCAATACGTTCAAAGTTTCTAATCCAATGTTAAGATCAAATATTTGAAAACAAAGTTCACGACAATCTTCAACTTAATCAGAACGAAAAACCAGAGCCACGTTTCCCTTTAATGAAATCACAACTTAATTAACCGCACCACCGCCGCATTCCTTTAATGTTAATTACAATCCACTCAGAACATTATTCCAGCAGTATAAACACCCATTACAAACATCATCAATCACACTCAAAATCATATTCCAGCAGTATAATCACCATTCCAGCAGTATAAACACACCTTACACCCAAAACATCAACTATCCACTCAAAATCATATAATGGCAGTATCACCCAACTATTTCTTCAAATATACAATGAATCAGTTTCAGTAACTTCCGTATTAGTTATCCAAATCCATTTATATTCTAATAACAGAGAAAATATAATCAAAATAATATAAAAAAATTAATTAAAATAATAAAAAAAATCTAATTTCTCAAAAAAAAATTTTTTTTTTTTTAAATTTTTTTTAAATTTAATATAAAAAATATGCCACAACCATCAGAAAATAATGTGGATCATTTAAATTGCTATTACAAGTGATACAGGTGTAGGTAAAATTTCCTTCTTTGATAGGTACATCGAAGATAAATATAAAGATAGAGAAAAAATGGACCAAAATTATAAAGTACCTTGATTAAAATACACCTTTGAGATATATTTGTAAATGTTGATTATGTATTAACTTTTAAATATATTCAATATTAATAACACTTTATAAAACTAATTAGGGAAGATACTATAGATATGTAGATGTTGGTAAATCAATTTATAAAGGAGCAGAGGAATTATAATAGCTTATGATATACCAAATAGAGAATCTTTCGTAAATTGCGGGAAGTGGAATAATGAAGCGATAAAATACTCAAGAGATGCACAGTTAACTTTAGTTGGTATGAAATTAGATATGGTTGATATAGATATAGAAAAGAGACAGTTTCATTGAATGTTGCACAACAATTAGCAAATAAATATAATATTAGATGTTATGAAACCTCATCAAAGTATAATTTGGGTGTACAAGAGACCATTTTAAACTTAACAAAGCAAATATCCGACCTGCTAGAATCTCAAATAGAAAATGATAATATAGAAACTAAATGTGATAAAAATTCAAAACAAAACTGCAATATACAATAAAATAAAATAATATAAATAATATAATGTAATAAATAAAAAAATAAACCAATATCTTTAAATTTGGTACAAAAAAAAAAAAAAAAAAGGAATCTATATTTACTTTATTAATTTAATTATTTTCTTTACATTCTTTTTTAAAAAAAAAAAAAAGTTTGATTATTATGAAAAAAAAAAAAAAAAAAAAATATTTATTGATGATGGTTGTCCAATTGTTGTTCCATTGATTTGATTTTTAAAAAATAAAAAAAAAAATAAAAAAAAAAAGTTGTTCTTTATAAATTTACTGTATCACTATTATTGCTGCTATTGTTATTGTTATTTTCTAAATTGATTAGGTTTTCTATATTATTAAGATTCGAATTTTTGTTATTTGCGCTATTTCCATTTTGTTTATCTTTTTGAGATTCAATTTTTTCTAATTCTTTGTATAGTTCTAATTCTCTTTGTGATAAATCACTTAATTTGGGTAAATTGACAGAGAAATTTACAACATAGGATCCAGATTCGCCACCCTTCGAGTCTTTAAAGCCTAGGTTGGGAACAGTGACAAAGTATTCTGAAGGATCATTATTTACTGAGGAGAATGGGGGTACATTAATAACCAAATCGCTTCCATATATTGTTGGTATTGGGAGAGTAGTACCAAGTAGAGCTTGTAGCATTGTCAATGGAATGGTTGTTTCTACATGGTTTGTATTGGGAACTCTATGGAATAATGGGTTGCTTTGAACTTTAATTGAAACATAAAGATTATAAATATCGGATATATTTTTATTGAATGCTATCTCCAATTCTAATTTTAACTTTTCATTATTATTAATACCGGCTGGTATCAATAACTCATCGACCATTCTTGTTTTAATTTGACCACTTCCAGAGCATTGGTTACAAAGAATTTGTGTTACTCTGCCCTTTCCATTACACTCTGTACAGGTAAAACCAAATGTTGATCTTCCGATGGATAAACACATTGGACATTCTAAATATTTAACACAATTTATACCTTTACATCCTGGACACTCCTTGTAAACTGAAAATGAAACTGTCTTTTCACAACCAAATACTGATTCTCTAAATGAGATTTCGGCTGATAGCTTTTGTTTATACACTAATGGTTTTCTATTTTGGTTTGGTTGCTCATTAAAACTATTATTAAAGCTTGAATTGTTAATGTTATTGTTATTATTATTGTTATTGTTGTTATTATTATTATTGTTATTATTGTTGTTATTATTATTGTTATTGTTATTGTTATTATTACTAAAATTGCTATGGAAACTAAAATTACTATTAAAATGATGTCTATTATTATGAAATTGATTGTTAAAATTTGAAACATGTTTTCTGTGCATTTCATGAATTGACTCGTGGAAGTTATTATGAATAGAAAATGGATGCTGTTGGTGATGGAAATGTTGATGATGTATACTGCCAAAAGGTGTACCTATATTTGTAAAGAATGGTGATCCACCTCCACCAAACATTCCAGAGGATGTAGCTTTAAAGAACTGATTAAAAATGTCATAAAAATGATCACTATTGAAATGCTCTCTTTCGAAATGTATATTGTTTCCTTGTTGATTATACATTGTTGGATTCTCTTGTTGACGTCTATAGTTGTCATAGTCATTTTTTTTTTTTGGATCTGACAGTACTGAATAAGCTTCTGATATTAATTTAAATTTTTCTTCTACTCTTTCGACATCCTCCTTTCCTATATTTCTATCTGGATGATATTTTAATGCTAGTTTCTTATAAGCCTTCTTTATTACTTCAACATCACTACAATACTTTTCAATTTCTAAAATTAAATAAAAGTCTGGTAATGTTTCATTACTATTCATTATTTATAAATTTATTTATTATATATGATGATGATTGAGTTGTTATTATTATTATTATTATTATTATTATTATTATTATTATTTCTTTAATTATTTATAAATTATTTTATTATATGAAAATATGTAAAATATGAATATGAATATGAATAATAAATATAAATGTAAATATAAATATAAAAATAAATATGAATAAAATAACTTAAAAAATTATTATAATAAATAAATAAATATATATTTAAAAAATTTTAAAAAAAAAAAAAAAAAAAAAAAAAAAAAAAATAAATTAAAAAAAAATTAAAAAAATTTATTTAAATTTTTAATTTTTTTTTTAATTTTATTTTTTTTATAATAACATGGTTTATTATTTCTTCTTTTAAATCTTTTTTACATTTATTTGTTTATAAATCAAACTTTGATTTTTTCATATTTTTTTTTCTTTTTTTTCTCTTTTTTCTTTTTTTTTTTTTTCTGTGAGGCTAGAACGGTTTTAAGTGGCTGTGGTCAATAAGTTTTATATATTTTTATACTTACAATTACCACTTAAGTTTTCCAAATATTTTAATTTTATTTTTTTAAATTTTTTTAAATTTTTTTTTTTTGTTTTTTTAAAAATTTAATAATTTTTATTTTTTATTTATTAAATTTTTTTATTTTTTTAAACTATATAACAAAGAAATAATAGATAGAAAAAGAGAAACTTATAAGATAAAGCAAATCAAAACAACACTCTTTTATTTCAGTTTCTTAATTTATTCTTTTTTTTTTTTTTTTTTATTATTGTATTGTATTGTATTATTTTTTTAAATATTTAATAACCACACCTACACTCATACACACATAAATAAATAAAATAAATCTTTTTTTTTTTTTGTATAATAGTTTATATCCAAAATGCAATCAAATTCTTTTTTTTTAAGAGTTATTGTCGCAGAAAATGGTCATGTATTTAAAATCCCAGTAAATCCATATGTTACGTATGTATTTTTTTTTAATATAAATATTTATTTATTTTAATATACTAATAGTTTTTGTTTATAAACTATAACTATTTTAGCATTGAGAGTATTAAAAACTCATTGGTTCAACACACAACTTTAAATCCTTCAGAACAAATTTTGATAGCAGATAAAACATTAACATCTAAAACACTCGAACATTATGGTATTACTGTTTGTATTATTACTTAAAGATTTTTTAAATATCACAATTTATATATTGGTGTACTAACTATTTTTATTAATTACCTATAGAGTGATAGAGATATTTATTTGTTTAATAAAAGAATTATTCTTGATCCAAGTTTAAAACCAGATGCACCAGATTTATCAATAAACGAGTTTAAGAGAGGTAAATAACCATTTTTAGTTTATACACGATTATGTTTATATTAAATTTTTTTTTTTTTTTTTTTTTAGTTCCAAAAAAACCAATTCCAAATAATTTAGAACAATTCGAAAATTCAACAGATCCACTCCAAAGACTGTATGCAACTGAATATTACCTTTCAAGCCAATTGGGAGCAGCAAAATTCCTCAAAGATGAAATTCAAAATAAAATTATTATATGCAATAACATGCCAAACAATATTTCACATCAAAAGAGTGCTATCAAAGTAGCAAATGTTTCATTTTTTGAATATAGAGAGTAAATATACTTTTAATATAAACATATAGTTTATAGTTTAATATATTAACTAATTAAAATTCAATTTTTTTGTGCATTTATAGAAATCTTTTCAAACATGCAAATATATTTTTTAGAGAGTTTGACAAAAAGAAACCATACTTTGAATTAGTATTTTCATCATTCGAATCAGATATTTCAAAATTAAAACAAACCAAACTTCATGAATCACTTAGAACAAATAATAGAACAACATTGGGTGATTGTATACCAGAGAATGATTTTAGAAAATGGCATAAACAATGTAGAGATGAATATGAAAACTTAAAATCAAAAATCAATGAAACAGAAGCTAAATTTAATTCAATTTGTTCAAATAGTGACATTGAATTAAATAAACAAATACCAATAAGGTAAGTTCTCAAATTATATTTATTTATTATTTACTATTAATTATTATTTAAATACTAATCGTTTTATAAATTAGTGAACATGAAGTTCAGGGAAAGCTTCAAGAATTACATAATAATGCAAAGACTGTTGGTTCTACTTTTGAATCATTTTCTAGTGGTAAGTTTTTATTTTTTTATATTACTATTTTATCATTACTAATTTTTTTTTTCTCCAAATATTAGCCTATGATAAACTTAAAAATGAATTGGAACAAATAAGATTAAAACCCAACCCTGGACAAATCGTTCAATCTTCACAATCATTTTTGGATATTAGAAACTCTCAAAATGAAAAGCTTTCAAGTTTAAAATATATTTTTGACCCAGTTCCATTTATTTTAAAGAAAAAAGTAAGTAAAAATGTTTTGCATTGGTTTATTAAGTAAATAATATATATTAACTTTTTTTTTTATTAAGTTTGAAATGAATAATTTTGCCTATCAACAATTAAGAACAGTTTCTAAATATCAAGAGAGTATTAGAGATATTAAAGCACATTTAAGTATTCATAATCAAGGGGTATCAAAGTTTTCTGAAAATTTTTCTCAATTAGAGGTTATCCATAAACTTTTTCAATCTTATGAAGAGTCTATTAATGAAATTACCAGAAGAAAGAAATTTGGAAATAACGTTCAAAGTTCTTTCAGTAAATTTTTAGAGTCATTAAAGATGATCAGAGAAGAAGAAATTCAAAAAAGACAAATATTCTTTGAACAATATCTCCATTATGTACCAATTAGTTCGTTCAATTGCCTAAAAGAACAAATTCCAGAGTTTTCAATTTCCTTACCACCCTTTGATCAAAATTTACCAAGTTTAAATGGAAGTATTATAAACAATAGTGGTAATGGTAGTTTAAATATTGGCGGTTTTGGTAGTGGTAGTAGTAGTGGTTCGTCAACAAATAATGATTTCGAAGATGGTTTCACAGTTATTGATAATTTAATAGCCGAAAATAATAATTTAGTTAATAAACCAAATAATAATAATAACAATAGCAATAATAATAATAATAACAACAATAATGATATTAATAATGCAAACAGTTATGGATTAAATAGTTTAAATTCAAGTATTTATAACAACAAGAAATTATTAAATGAATTAGAAAGATCACATTATGAAAATAAGCAATTAGAACAAAAATTACAAACAACATTTTTAATAGCTTCAAAGAATGAAGAAAAATATAAAGAACTTTTAGATATATCAAAACATCACAATCAATCTTTTGAGAAGCAACAAAGTGAAGCTATTAAAATTGAAGAGCTCAGTAAAGAATTAAAACAAAAAAAAATTGAAGTCGACATCCTAAATAAAGAGTTGGCAAATGTCTCAAACGAAAAGTTCTCGAATCAAAGCTCAATTTTTTCTCTTCAAGATGAAAAAACTCATTTAGAAATCCAAATCAATGACCTCAAATTACAAGTTGAAAATTATGAACAAAAAGTTATCGCACTCACTAAAGAATTTGAAGAAAAGGAATTAGAATCAAAGAATCAATTCAAGGGTGACCTCGATATTAAATTAAAGCAAATTGAAAATCTAAAAGATGAAATACAAGTACTCAGTAATACTGTCCAAGAATTGAAAGAAAACATTATCAATCTTCAAGAAGAGAACGAAACACTTAAACAAGAAAAGAAATTACTCGAAAAAGAAGTTCAAGAACATAAAGCCAAGAATGGAAAATTAAGCCTTGAATTGGAAACAATTGCTTCAAAGAGTGATACATTACAAATTGAACTAATAAGCTTACAAGAGAAAACTGAAGAGATAGAAAAATCAAATAGCACCTTAAAAGAATACTCTAATGACAACCAAGAGGCTATTGAAAAGTTAAACAAATCAAAACAAGAACTCTATGAAACAGTTAATCAGTTGAAATTAACCAATCAACAATTAGAGAGTGCCAATATCGAGTTTGAAGAATCAAAGAGCCAATTATTAGAATCAAATCAAAAATTAATAGACTCCAACGAAAAATTAAAAGAAATCAACCATAAATTAGAACATAATAATCAAACACTACAATCAAATCTTAATGAATTCGAAAGCAATGCTGGTGATCTTTACAAGGTAGTCGAAAATTTAAAACTTACTATTGAAAGTTTAGAGGCAACAAACCAATCATTAGTCGAACATAAAGAAAAATTAGAAGAAGAAAATAAAACACTAAGAGAGTATAATGAGTGTCTTGAAGAACAAAATCAAGAACAAAGGGACCAAACCAAATCATCTGAATCACTTTTAAGCAAAGAGAATGAAAAATTAAGTTTACTAGTTAAGGCTTTGGAATCAAAACTAAATCAATTAAATGCAGAGAAATCAAATATTGAAATCGAGTTGGAAGAAACCAAATCGAACCTTTCAAAATCAATTTCTCACGCAACCAGTTCACTTGACCAATCAAAATCATATGAAAATCAAATTAAAAAGCTCGAAGATACAATAGCCTCATTAAAAGAAAAGGAAAAAGAAGTCACTGAAGAGCTAAAGGAAAAGGAAGAGGAAATTAGCAGACTTTTATTGGAAGTGGATAAAAAAGAAGACATTAATAATACCGAAGTTAAAAGTATCCATAGTTACTATGAAAACGAAATGACCAAATTTAATGAAGAAAACGAAAAGCTTAAAAAAAGTCTTTCTGATCTCTCTGAAGAAAATGCAAGACAAATTTATGAAATCGAAATGACAAAATCAAATAAAGAACAAAGTGATGCCACACATAAGCAAGAAATTGATGACCTTAAGAATAGAGAGGCCATTTTGGAAAATAAATTGAAAGAGAATGGTCAACAATTAAAGGAAAAATCAAAACAACTTGCAGATAAAGAAAAACTATTTTCAGATAAAGATAATCAAACTCAAGACCTTTTAGATAAATTATCTGATATGCAATCAAAGAATTCAGATATTTCATCCAAATACAATGATCTTCAAAATAGATTTAATGACCTCCAAAATAGATACAGCTCTAGCAACAACTCTCAACAAGAATTAAATAGATACAAAAATACAATTTTCGAACTTTCCAGACTCATTAATCCAGACTCTAGAGAACCATTACCATTAGATGTTGTTTCAGATAAAATTTCAGGCATAATTTTCGACCATGTTACAACCAACCAAACTCTTGTCGAGATGAGCAACAGTTTAGAACATCAATTAAGTATTGAACGTTCTCGTAGTTTTATTGTCTCTGGTTTCACCCACGAACGTTTGGTTGTATTTTATCTAAACAAAAATAAAATTTACGAAGCCGTCAACATGCATTCTCCAAATTATTTCCTTTCTCAAGACTCATATCAGCAATTCGAAGAAGAAATGAAAGCTGGTCAACCAATTTTTGGAACTATAATTTCAATTGAACCCAAAATGGCCGCAAACCCAAATGATTTGAAAATTCATGCTGGTACAGAGTTCTTTGAAGTTACAATTTTAAAATATACTGGCGATAATTAAACTTTTTATTAATAAAAAAACTTTATATTTTTATTTTTAATAAAAAAAAAAAACATTTTATTTTATTATTTAGTTAATATAATATTTATATTTAGCTAAATATTAACATTTAGTTTTATTTATTTTTTTTTATATAAGGTTATTATAACCTTTTAATTTAACACTGTTTAACATTTCATTTATTGCTTGAGTTCCTTTATCTCTTTGAATGGAACATAGTAAAGAAACTGATGAAAAGTAACTTGATTCTTTTGGTATTAATTTCTTTACATAATTCAAAATTGATGGTCTTGGTCCAATCTCTACAAATACAATATTATCACCAAGTTTATTTTCTTCCACATGTTTGTATATTGCTGAGATACCATGGGCAAATCTTGCTTGATCTCTTAAATTATCAAACATATATTGATTATTAAAGTACAATTCTTCATTGAATAATTTACCATAAACTGTTGAAGAGTGTGGAATTAAAGGTGGGTTACTTTTGAATTTTAATTTTAAAATATCGTCTTTTAATACATCTTGACATGAATTATGAAAAGCTGTTGGAATTGAAAGTACCTTTGTATAGATTGATTTGGATTTTAGAACAGAGTTGATTTTTTCGATATCTGCTGTTTCACCTCCAATAACTATATTGGTTGGACTTAATAGACATGCAATTTCTATAGTTGGAAATTGTTTAGAGAATTGATTCATATATTCATGTTCACCTAAATCAATCCACATCATAGTTCTACCACATCCAAATGTAGTTTGTTGTAATTTACCCCTATTATAAATGATCTAAAAATAATTAACTTGTGAATTTTGGTAAATAAAATATATAAGGTTTAAATACTTACATAACATAAAGTTTCCAAGTCTGGTATCATTCCTGATGCATAAGAGCCCACTACTTCACCAAAAGAATGACCTACTATCATATTTGGTAGTAAGCCTAGGTGCTTATAAAGTTTATAGAGAGATACCTGTACCATTAATAAAGCAGTTTGGGTTATTTCTTGGTTACTATTAATCTCTGGATCTAACTCATCGTTTAATGTTTTCAATTTATCGAGTACACTATAACCATAATATTTCTCTTTCATTATATTATCTATTTCATCCATTGAATCTCTAAATACTTTTTCGCATTCATATACTTCCAAAACCATTTTATTCCATTGTGCACCTTGACCACTAAAAACAAAAACAATAAAAGGTTGATTCTTTATATTGTCCATATCTATAATTCTTTTTTGTTGTTTTAGTTTATCATACAAATCATCCCAATCACTTGCTATAATATAATAATGAGATGAAAATGATGATAAATTATGAAATGGGAATTGATTAATTTGATTGTTCTGAAACTCTTGAATAGATCCATTAAATTGGTTTTTAATATTTTCGAAATTATCAATAGTTTCTTTTAATATATTTGTATCATTTGAAAATGGTATTATGTTTTGAATTATTTTATTTTCCATTTCTATATTAGCTGTGTATAAAATAATGATAAAAAAAAAAAGTAATAATGATAAAAAAAAAAAAAAAAAAAAAGTATGAAAATCAAAAAATTAAAAAAATCAAAAAAATCAAAAATCAAAAAAATAATTATTTGTAAAAAGCAAATAATTAATTTTATTGAATTTTTGTAATATAATGAATTTTTTAATTGGAATTGATTCTACCTAAAAAATCAAAATCACAACAATTAATTGGATAAGAAGTAATATCAATAGAATGAAAGTTATTCTTTAAAATCACTTTAAAACTTTTTTTTTAAATTAATCATTTTGAAGTAATTTAAACAGTGAAAATTTAGAACTTTTAAACAAAAACGTCCTCATACTCAGTGTATTGGCCGATCTATGGTTTTGACTCTCAATTGTCAAAAAGAAAAAAAAGAACAATGTTTGATAAATAAAATAAGTAACTTAAAAAAAAAAATTAAAAAAAAAAAAAAAAAATTTCCCAAAACTTAAAATATATGAAAAAAAAAACAAGTAGTTTTATTACAGTTCAAAACTTATTTCTCAATTATTTTTTCACAATTATCTAACAAAAATTTTAACTTTATTTTAAAACAAAAAATGACTTGCCCACAATCCACTGCAGATTTAGTTGGATTAATCAGAAACGCTTTATGCCATCTCAGAACCTCATCAAACTATAGTGCCAACAACAGTCAAGATAATTGCTTTTTAAACTATACCAATGATAAATTAACTTCTAAGTTTGTATATATATAAAAGAAATATTATCATATATAAATATTTATTATTATTTTTTTATTGTTCATACAGAGGGGCTAGCGAATCATGGAGTGCCTCAATTATAAATAATGCCCAATATATTGTTGCTGGTTGTGAAAATCCACGTACTTTTGTTGCTGTTGCTCTCCAAGGTCGTGGTGATGTATGTATTTTTTAAATTTTAATATTTATATTTTTTTCTAAAAAAATAAAAACTTATTAACAAATTTAAATTTTTATTATTACAGCTTGATCAATGGGTTACCTCATACAAAATCCGTTATACTTTAGATAATATTACCTGGATTGATTATAGAAACGGTGCCGCAATTCAAGGTTGTGTCGATCGTAATACTGTTATCATTCATTACTTTGATACTCCAATCAGAGCTCGTTCAATTGCTATTCACCCAATCACTTGGCATGTTCACATTTCATTAAGATGTGAATTCTACACCAAACCAAATCTTACTCCTTTCACTCAAGTTGGTCAAGTTAACAGTGGTAATAACACCCCAATGTTATCAGGTAGTGGTGAATATAATGTTGTTGTCCCAGTTACATTCCCAGTCGAATTCCACAAAATCCCAGATATTACTCTTAATCTCCAATACATTGATTGTACTGCTCCTCAAAATAATCAGGTTAGAGTTAAAGTTGATCCAAAGAATGTAACAACCAAAGGTTTCGATGCTGTATTCGCTACATGGAGTGATTCAAAAGCCTACAGATTAATCGCTGATTACTCTGCCACTGTTTTAGAATAAAGTTTTTAAATTTGTTTCAAATTTGTTTTATAATATAAAAATATAAATAAAGTTAAACCATATCTATATTAGATGTATATATGATAAAGATTTTTAAAAAAAAAAAAAAAAAAAAGTTTGATATTTTAAAAAAATTAAAAAAAAAAAAAAATAAAAAAATAAATTAAAAAAATTAAAAAAATAAAAAAATTTAATAATAATAATTTTATGTGTGCAAAAAATTGGGTAATTAATTTTATTATTAAATTTTTGTAATAAAATATATTTGTAATATTTTAATTTGAACAGATTCTACCAAAAATGTCTAAATCACAATAATCTATTGGATTATCACAAGTAATTTCGATAGCTGGAATTGAAAGGTATTCTTTAAAATCACTTGGTAATGTAACTTTATTTAAACCTTGGAAAATATATGAACTTCTTGAAATAAAATAATAAAGTGGATCATTATGATTTTTTCTGATGAAACCAAATTTAACCAAACCTAAATCATCACTATAATAATTTTGATTATTGCTAAGGACTATAGAAGCATTGTAATAGTTTCCTAATGCTTTATAATCGAATAAAAATGTAAAGGTTTCATCTTTATTAATTGTTATTCTTTGGTAAAACCCATCTTCGCATGTATTTTCACTAATTGTTTTGGTGCAATTATTTCCTGTACCTATAATATAAATAAAATATTTAATGATAAACAATTTTTAAAACTAAATAATAAAAATAAAAAAATAAATAAAACTTTCATTTTTAGATTATATATAAAAAAAATATTATAAAAATAAATAAAAAAATATATTTATATTTTATTTATAGTTTAAATTTTTTAAATATATTATTTTAAATGAAAAAAAAAAACAGGATTTAGTAATTATTTGTTTAGTTTTTGTGGGGTTTTAAATTTACATTTAGGAAAAAAAAAGGGAATTTATACTTTTAGAAAAAATTATTTTTTAATAGTTTTATATGGGGGAAAGGGTGGATCAATCAAATAGTATATAAATTTGATTGATTATATTATAATTAAATGAAGATCATCAAACTAATAATCAAGTTTTCTTAAAAAAGTTTGTAAATAAATAAAAAAATAAAAAATAAATTTTAAAAAATAAATTTTAAAAAAATAAAAAAATAATAAATGGGGGAAAATTTATATATTAATATATTAATATTATACCTAAATACAAATAATTGTATTTTTTATTTGTTTGTTATCAATTTGATTTTTTATTATTATTGATATTACGTTTTTTTTTTTTATAAAAATTTTTTGGGGCTTTGGGATTTTTTTTTTTGAAAATGTGTAATGGGGTGTTAAAGTAGCGTGCTCCCAATTAATGAAAAAAAAAAATATTAAAAAAAATAAAATTATTATAAACCTCTTTTAAATCTCAAGATTGTTTTTTTTTTTTTTTGGAAATTTTAAAATGATTATAAAAGAGAAATTTTATTTTTTCAAAACCAAAAAATAATAGTAAAAAAAATTTAAATATCATCATTGAAATAATCAAAAACCATTATTTTTTTAAGTGTAATAGTAAATTTGCCCTGTTTTGATGGGAGTTTTTTTTTTTTTTAAAAAAAATCTGTGGGGTATGTGTTTCTATTATTAAAAAAAACATTACACAGGTAATCACAAAATTTTTTTTTATTAGAAAAAAATAAATATTAAATTTATAATTATTTTTTAAATGCCCCATTTTAAAAAATCTATTCTTGCTTGGAAACTGTTTCTTGAAATTGATTGAGTTTAATTTAATTTTTTAAAAAATAATTTATTGTTATTAAAAAAAATATGAAAAAAAAAAACTATTTAAACAAGTTTTTTTTTTATTATTTTCAAATCAAAACAAATTTCACAATTATCTAACAAATATATTAATATTTTATCTTTAAAATCAAAATGTCACAAACCACCACAGGCTTAGTTCAATTAATCAGTAACGCTTTATGCCATCTCAGAACCTCAACCAACTGGAATGCTGACCACAGTCAAGATAACTGTGTTTTAAACTATACCAATGATAAATCAACTACTAGGTTTGTATAAAAAAAACACAATTTATTTATGTGATTATATATTTATAATAATTTTTTATTTTATACAGAGACGGTGCTGAAGCTTGGTGTGCCTCAATTTTAAATACTGACCAATATATTGTTGCTGGTTGTGAAAACCCACGTACTTTTGTTGCTGTTGCTCTCCAAGGTCGTGGTGATGTATGTATTTTTTAAATTTTAATATTTATATTTTTTTCTAAAAAAATAAAAACTTATTAACAAATTTAAATTTTTATTATTACAGCTTGATCAATGGGTTACCTCATACAAAATCCGTTACTCCTTAGATAATGTTACCTGGAGTGAATATAGAAACGGTGCCGCAATTCAAGGTTGTGCCGATCGTAATACTGTTAACACTCATTACTTTGATACTCCAATCAGAGCTCGTTCAATTGCTATTCACCCACTCTCCTGGAATACCCACATTTCATTAAGATGTGAATTCTACACCAAACCAGTCCTTACTGCTTTCACTCAAGTTGGTCAAGTTAACAGTGGTAATAACACCCCAATGTTATCAGGTAGTGGTGACCGTAATGTTGTTGTTCCAGTTACATTCCCAGTCGAATTCAGCAAAGTCCCAGATATTGCTCTTAATCTCCAATACATTGATTGTACTGCTGATTCAAATAACCAAGTTAGAGTTAAAGTAGATCCAAAGAATATAACTACCAAAGGTTTCGATGCTGTATTCGCTACATGGAGTGATTCAAAAGCCTACAGATTAATCGCTGATTACTCTGCCACCGTTTTAGAATAAACCTTTTAAATTGGTTCAACAAATTTGTTTTATTAAAAAAAAAAAAAATAAAGTTATATCATAATAAACACTTGTTTATTTAAAAATATAAAAATTATTTCTTTCCATTTTTAAAAATAATAATTCTAAATTATCTTTATTTTTTATCTTTATTTTTTTTAAAAATATTGTGTTCAAAAATTGTATTGTGCGGGTGGTTCAAAACATTTTTTTAATATTAAAAATTTTTTTTTTCAAATTTTTAATATTAAAAAAATTAACATTTCCCATATAAAAATTTCAAAAAAAAAAAAAAAATATTTTTTTTTTTTTTTTATATATAAATAAATGTATAAATTTCTTAATTTTTTTTAAAAAAAAAAACACACTTTAACACACCCCCTTTTTGAAATGTTTATTTTTTCCAAATTAAAAATTAAAAAAAAATTTTTTTTTTCTTTTTTTTTTTTTCTCCATTTTTTGTTTCATCTTTTTTTTTTATTTTAATTTAATAATTTCATTTTTTTATATATATTAAAAAGAAATGTATAATAACAACAATTACAATAATATTAATAATAACAACTGTGATAATGATTATAACCATAATAAAAGTGAAATATTATTTTTTAAAATTTTTAAAAATAAAGTATTAAGAAATAAAATATTATCATTTATCCATAGAGATAAATCAGATCATTTCTGTGAAGCAACTTCATCACTAAATCTAATGGTCGATAATAAAAAGTACGAAATGATATATGATAAATTAAAAAATAATAATTTTATATACATAGACGAACACCTACCAGAATCAATTATAAAACTATTTAATGGATTATCAAAAATTAATCAAATTGAAAGAATTTTAACACCATTATTAAATAAATATCAAAATAGAATATTTAGTTTTACAACCCTAATATTCGATGCAGCAATAAAAGATAATAATTTAAAATTCATAAAATACTTTATCAATCATAATAATTTTAATAATAGTGATCAATCACATCTTTTAACTGGTCTATTAATAGAATCTAGTTATGATAATTTTAAAATTTTTAAATATTTATTCAGCTTAATAAAAAGTAATAAAAATAATAACAATGATACAGATAATAGTAATAATAATAATAATGATACAGATATGAATGATAATAACAATATAATAAAAAATATAATAAAATGTGATCAATATAATTTTGACTATTTGGTTTTACCACTACTTAATAAACTATCAAGGGAAAAGGTAGAGTTTATTGAGGATGAATTAAAGATCAACTTGAAACAATTTATAAATGAAAATCAAGAGATTATCAAATGCCTTGGGAATTTAAAACCAATAGCAACTCATCAAGATATTGTAGAATCACTTTTAATGAGAAACGAAGAATCTCACGTACTAAAAATCAAATTTAATGACCCAACTTATTTAAAAATTCAAATATTCAATGGCTTAAGAAAAAATCAAAATTTTCAAACAACATATATGGAAAAATTTAAAGAATTCTTTTTAAACAATCCAAACATTAAAACCACGAAAGAGATCATGTTTGGAATAATTCATATTATTAGCAATATTAAAGGGCTGGAAAAAGCAAACATGGTTCTATTTGAATTAATTCCATTCGAAATTTGTTACTATTTTATGGAGGAATCAAAATATGATGAAATTATAAACATTATAAAGAACCCACCCCTCCCATCAAATCATCAAATTACTCCTGGAGTTATTAAATTAATGGTTATATTTTACTCTGTTTCACACTACTCTATAGAAGCACTACAATTTTATTTAGAAATGGTCTCGAAAATTAACCTCTTCAATTCCTCCTCAATTTTTGAAGACAACGCTACAGAAATAAACCCTACCAAAGCACATATCTTTATAAAATCTATTTTCAATAATGATAAAATTAGGGAAAAAGTTTTACAATTTATTCCAGACGAAATGATACGACTTTTAGATATAATCATCACCAACTATGACACAACTTTCTTTGAATCTCTATTAAATGAAAATACTCATTTTAAAAACTTTTATTACCAAACAATAGAATTTAATTTTAAAAAAGTTGTAGAAATCTACTCTACCAAAGATAAAATGACCAACCAATATAATAAAGAGAAAATAGACAGTTGGAAAAAGCATTGTGTTTTCTTGATAGAAAATAGAAAGTTGGAAACAGCATTTTGTTTTCTTGATACCAGTAGTAATAAATCTCTGCTTGTCCCATTTTTTAGCTATATAATGAAAAATATAGAACAAGATTTAATGATCCACTATGTATTGTCAAATAAATTATTTTTGGAATTTCAAAATTTAAAACTAAATGAAATCGTCGAAATTTTCAACTCTATTGATCAAGAACAATATTTTAGAAACCTTATGGAATGTTTTCAAAGTGATGGTGATTTTGCTAAAAAAAATTCATATGTATTCAACAAGTCCAATCTTTTTTTAAAGAAACTAAGCAAATCAATTTCAAAAAGAAGATACAATAAAATTAATCAAATCATATCAACAACCAATAATAATAAAAACATTCAAATACCAACAACACTTTATAAACCAATTGAAATTATTAAATATTTATTTGAAAATAACTATTTAGAATCATTCGATATCAAATCTTTAGTTGAACTGCTCACTAGTCATATACCAGATATCAACTCTTTTGAAATCATTGAAATGGCTCAGAAATCGACCATCAATGAAAATAGTAAAAAACATTTATGTGGATACAACTCAATTCTTTTAAAATACAATTTGGATGACATATTATTGGATGAAAATAATGAAGATACCACCTCTTTTTCCTTGGGGAAACTTTTTGAAGGTTGCTATTATCAAAAAGCATTAGAACTATCACTCAATAAACCAAAATCAGAACTATCATTGGGCAGAATTAAATACAAATTGCTATTTGGTAAATCCTTGTCACTAAGCATAGAATGGTTTAATAGATTATATACTCCAATTTATGAGACAATTTTTAGTCAAATTCATTTCAGTAAAAATCATTTAGTTTTAAAACTATCTTTTGCAAGAATTGATATATTCGAAATTCTATGGACACGTTATTTAAAATCAGACTCTGATAAAATCAATTTAATAGGATCTATTCTACACCATGACCAAAGACATCAGCAATTAACAATGCACATATTAAAAGAAAAGAAACAGTTTCTTATCGACCATTATAAATTTAAGGACCATTATTTTTTTAAAGATATCTGTCTCCAATATCTAATCAGTGGTGATTTAGAACTATTCAAATTATTCATTCAATTTTCACCTCCATCATTTCAATTTACCATAGACTCTCATACATTCCTCAAATTGTTTTTGTTACCCAAAAATCCTTTTTATCACACAATAGAATACCTTATTGATAATAATTATATTTTAGATTTAGAAAAAATTATTTCAACATTAGATTTTAGTGATGGTTCATATGAACCATGTTATAATATACCAAAAATAATATTTTTACAAAAAATAATTAAAAAGTGTAAAATAAATAAATAAATAAATAAATAATATTTTAAAAAAAAAAAGGCATAATTTTATTTTATCTATGAAAGTTGGTTTAAAAAATAAAAAAATTTAAAATATTTTTTTTTTTTTTAATTTTTTTTTTTAAAATTTTTTTTTTTTTTTTCAGCTATTTTTATTTATTAAACTACAAAAATTATTATTTTTCTCTTTATTTCGTTAAGTTTTTGTTTGTGTATTAGCTGATATTTGATTTTGGCTCTCAAAAAAAAATTAAAAAAAAAAAATATTTTAAATTTTTTTATTTTCACACCAACTTTTAATTTTTTCCTAAAGATTATTAAATTTCCAAATTTTTTTTTCAATCAAAATAAATGTATGACAGTAATAATGGTTATAACCATAATTGTAGAAATGAAATATTATTTTTTAACATTTTTAAAAATAAAATATTAAGAAATAAAATATTTTCATTTATCCATAGAGATAAATCAGATCATTTCTACGATGCAACTTCATCACTAACGCTAATGGTCGATAATAATAAGTACGAAATGATATATGATAAATTAAAAAATAATAATTTTATATACATAGACAATCAACTTCCAGAATCAATTATAAAACTATTCAATGGATTATCAAAAATTAATCAAATTGAAAGAATTTTTACACCATTATTAAATAAATATAAAAATATTATAGATAGTTTTACAACCCCAATATTCGATGCAGCAATAAAAGATAATAATTTAAAAATCATAAAATACCTTATCAATTATTATAGTTTAAATAATAGTGATCAATCACATCTTTTAACTAGTCTATTAATAGAATCAAGTTATGATAGTTTTAAAATATTTAAATATTTATTCAGCTTAATAAAAAGTAATAAAAACAATAACAATGATATAGATAGTGATAACAATAATAACGATACAGATATGAATGATAATAACAGTATATTAAAAAGTATAAAAAAATTTGATCAATATAACTTTGACTATTTGGTTTTACCACTACTTAATAAATTATCAAAGGAAAAGGTGGAGTTTATCGAGAATGAATTAAAGATCAACTTGAAACAATTTATAAATGAAAATCAAGAGACTATCAAATACCTTAAGACTTTAGAACCAATAGCAATTCATCAAGAAATTATAGAATCACTTTTAATCATAAATGAAGAATCTCTAGTACCAATAATCAAATTTAATAACCCAACTTTTTTAAAAATTCAAATATTCGCATACCTAAATAGACAAAATAAAAATTTTCAAAAAAAATATATGGAAAAATTTAAAGAATTCTTTATAAACAATCCAAACATTAAAACCACGAAAGAGATCATATTTGGAATAAAATCAATTATTAGCAATATTAAAGGGGAGGACCAAGTAAACATCGGTCTATTTGAATTAATTCCATTCGAAATTTGTTACTATTTTATGGAGGAATCAAAATATGAAGAAATTACAAACATTATAAAGAACCCACATTATTCATCAAATTATTATCAAATTAGTCCTAGAGTTATTCAATCAATAGTTCTATTTTACTCTATGTCACACTACTCTATAGAAGCACTACAATTTTTTTTAGAAATGGACTCAAAAATTCACTACACCCATTCCTCCTCTGTTTATGAAGACAACACTACAGAAATAAACCCTACCAAAGCACATATCTTTATAAAATCTATATTCAATAATGATAAAATTAGGGAAAAAGTTTTACAAATTATTCCAGACGAAATGATACGACTTTTAGATATAATCATCACCAACTATGACACAACTTTCTTTGAATCTCTATTAAATGAAAATACTCATTTTAAAAACTTTTATTACCAAACAATAGAATTTAATTTTAAAAAAGTTGTAGAAATCTACTCGACCAAAGATAAAGTGACCAACCAATATAATAAAGAGAAAATAGACTTTTTGATTAAACAAATAAAGATTGGAAAGTTGGAAACAGCATTTTGTTTTCTTGATACCAGTAGTAATAAATCTCTTATTGTCCCATTTTTTAGCTATTTAATGAAAAATATAGAACAAGATTTAATGGTCCACTATGTATTTTCAAATAAATTATTTTTGGATTTTCAAAATTTAAAACTAAATGAAATCGTCGAAATTTTCAACTCTATTGATCAAGAACAATATTTTAGAAACCTTATGGAATGTTTTCAAAGTGATGGTAATTTTGCTAAAAAAAATTCATATATATTCAACAAGTCCAATCTTTTTTTAAAGAAACTAAGCAAATCAATTTCAAAAAGAAGATACAATAAAATTAACCAAATCATATCAACAACCAATAATAATAAAAACATTCAAATACCAACAACACTTTATAAACCAATTGAAATTATTAAATATTTATTTGAAAATAACTATTTAGAATCATTCGATATCAAATCTTTAGTTGAACTGCTCACTAGTCATATACCAGATATCAACTCTTTTGAAATCATTGAAATGGCTCAGAAATCCACTATAAATGAAAATAGTAAAAAACATTTATGTGGATACAACTCAATTCTTTTAAAATACAATTTGGATGACATATTATTGGATGAAAATAATGAAGATACCACCTCTTTTTCCTTGGGGAAACTTTTTGAAGGTTGCTATTATCAAAAAGCATTAGAACTATCACTCAATAAACCAAAATCAGAACTATCATTGGGCAGAATTAATTACCAATTGCTATTTGATAAATCCATGTCACTAAGCATAGAATGGTTTAATAGATTATATACTCCAATTTATGAGACAATTTTTAGTCAAATTCATTTCAGTCAAAACTTTTTAGTTTTAAAACTATCCTCTGCAAGTATGGATATATTCGAAATTCTATGGACACGTTATTTAAAATTAGACTGTGATAAAATCGGTTTTATAAGCACTATTCTACACCATAACAAAAACCATCAGCAATTAACAATGTACATATTAAAAGAAAAGAAACAGTTTCTTATCGACCATTATAAATTTAACTACAATTTTTTTAAAGATATCTGTCTCCAATATCTAATCGATGGTGATTTAGAACTATTCAAATTATTCATTCAAATTTCACCTCCATCATTTCAATTTACCATAGACTCCAATATTTTCAAATTGTTTTTCTTACCCAAAAATCCTTTTTATCACACAATAGAATACCTTATTGATAATAATTATATTTTAGATTTAGAAAATATTATTTCAACAATCGATTTTAATAGTGGTGATAATGAACATAAACCATTTTATAATATACCAAAAATAATATTTTTACAAAAAATAATTAAAAAGTGTAAAATAAATATTTTAAAAAAAAAGGTATAATTTTATTATATTTTTTAAGGGCTAATCTACGAATATTTCTAAAATGATTTACTCTAAATAAAACCCTAAAGGACAATTCTACCCATTGGATCTTATTCAATTTTTTTAAACACTGTTGCTATATTAATCTTTCTTTTTTAATATACCAAATAAAATTGATATTTTATTTATAATAAATTATAAATAATGCCTTTTTTATTCTTGATAACATGAAAAGTTGAAAAAAAAAAAAAATCTTTTTCATTGTATTTTTTAAAAATAAATAAAAATTAAATATTTAATTTTTTTATTTTTTTTTAATTTTTTATTAAATTATTTTTATTTTTTTTAAATTATTTTTTTTATATTTAAATAGAAGAGGTTACTAAAAAAAAAAATAATACTTTTATAATAATATTAGGATGTTGAAAAAAATAATTATTTAGAAATGAACAATAATAAAGAATTCGGCCTGTTATGTAAAAAAGTTGAAATACAGCAACAACAAATTGACTATTTAACAAAGACTGTGCAAAAACTTCAAGAACAATTAGAATGGATGAACAACTGTATAAAGCAAGAACATAAAAAACCAATTGATGATAATAGTGTTTGTAAAATAATAAATCATATAATATTAAATATATAATGTTTTATACTAATAAATTTATTTTATTTCGTTCATTTATTAATAGATTGTCAGCAGCAATTTACAAAACGATGAAATAAATTTTAAAAATACCAATAACTATTTTGAAAACTATAATGACAGTTATTATGGCAACAATACATACACCTCAAACAACAAAAGAAAAAGTGATAGAAATGAACACTATAGGAATGATGAATATTTTAATAATAATAACAGTAATAACAATAATAATAATAATAACAGTAGATATAACAATAATAACTATCAATATCCTGAAATAAACCAATCTCATTATAATCTTCAAAATAATAATAATAACAATACTAATAATAACAATAATAATAACTATCAAGAACAACATTTTAATACCTCAGGCTCGGATTACCAGCAACAATATCAAAATCAAAGCTACCAACATAATAATCTACAAACCTATACCCAACAATACCAAAATGAACCCCAATCGTTTAAATTAATACCAAATAGAATAGAAAGAAGATATAAATCAAGTGGTGTCGTTTTATATGCAATCGATAATTATGGTAATATTAAAATATTATTAGGTTGTGAGGATCTTTCTAAAAAAAAAGATTATAAAAAACGTCAAGATAAATGTGTGTACACACTACTAGGTGGAAAAAGGGATAGAACCGAAAAAAGTATAGATACTGCAATGAGGGAACTCAACGAAGAAACAAATTTCATCTTTAACGATACTGAAACTGATCGATATCGCCAACTACTAGAGTCTGAAAACACAATTAAATATTGGATACCAAGCGGAGGTTATATTTTATATTGTGCTCAAATCCCATATGATGAAAATATACCCAAAAGATTCAGAAGGAACAACTATAATAACTATAACAATAATAAAAACATCAAAATCAATAAAAAAGAATCAGAATCAATAGTTTCACTCGAGTGGATAGATTATAGCTCCATCTCCTCTTGTGATTTTAGAAACCCAATATTTATTCGCTCAAATGGAGAAAGAGGAGAACTATACAGATTCTTTATTGAAATATTAAATACTATTTATAAACAATTTGAACTTTTACAATCACCTCAATCACAAAATAATTATTAAAAAAAAAAAAAATAAAAAAAAAAAAAAAATAAAAATAAAAATAAAATTTGCTTCATCAAAAAAATGGTTTTTCTTTTATTTTTATTTTTATTTTATTTTCTTTATCGTTATATTATTTTATCGTTATATTTTTTTATCGATATTTTTTTTTTCCACCCTGAGTGGTTTTAATTAAAAATGAACACACGACAAGCATAATCATTGTGGTATTAAAATGTATTTTAAAAAATATCCATAATGCAATCTTTTCAACTATGAAAAGAACGAAAAATCATCGCAACATTTTTATTTTTTATTCATGGTGTGTTTTGTGTGAGCATCAATTTTTTTATTTTTTTTTTTCAAAAAAATTTTTGGAAAAAATTAAAAAAAAAAAAAATTGATTATGATATTTTCAAAATCATTGCAGATTGTATCTCTTTATACCTTTCCACCCAAATAAAAAATAAATTATAATAGTAAATAATAATATGTAATCTTTTTTTTTTTTTTTATCCAATCAATTTTTCAAATAAATAGGCGATAAAAATCTTTTTTTTTTTTTTTTTTTTTTTTTTTTTTCAATCACAGCAAAGTTTTTTTTTTCTGTATTTTTTTATATATATATTATTTTTAATAGTTTTTTTTTTTATTTTTAATAGTGTTTCAAAAAAAAAAAATATATTTATATAAATTATAATTTATAAATATTGTTTTTTTTTTTATTTTTTTTATATAACGATCATAAAATAATAAAAAAAAATAATAAAAAATTTTTATAATTTACCCACAACACACAGTTACACAAAAATTTTTATCCCTGTTTCGAAACCACACATCAATCATTTTTTGTTTATATCATTTTATTTTTTATAATTCCAAATCATTTTTTTCATATATATAATTTGGAACACCAAAAATAAAAGGTTAATTTAAATAGTTGGTAAAATAATAAAAAAATACTCCACATTTTAAAAAAAAAAATTGTTTTTTATTATTTTTTTAAAATTTAATTGTGATTATTTAAAATCAATCAAAATCAATCAAATACAATATATAAAATAAATAATATATATTTGTTTTTTTTTTAATTAAAAAATTAAAAAAATGAAAATTAAAAACTATTTTTTTGTTTTCATTTTTTCATTAATTTTTAATTTCATTCACTGTGCAATAACACTTAATGATGTATCACAGTTAAAAAACTATAATCTATATGCAGACTCTGACAAAATATGTAATTTAGAATTTGATTTCTATTTAGAAGATTCAATAAATAACCCAATCTTAACAAGCACAGTTTCCTCATCAGGTGGTACATTATATTTCTCTAGTACAACCCAAAATAGACTATTATGCAAATTAAAATTAGCTTACTCTACAACCACAACAACCCAAAATATAATTACTGTTGGTTCTCAAATATTTAACTATCCATCATCATCCATTACATGTACAAGTATGTATCTATAAAATAATATAGTATAAAAAAACAAAATGGTTAATTAATAAAAAATTATTTATTTCTTTATTTTTATTTTTTTAGCTTTACCTTCAACATTAGAATATGTAATGATTTCAAATGTTCCAAATAAAGTTTCAAATAGCGAATATAATATCAATCTTATTATTAATAATATTAATAAGATTTTGCCTACTACATCATCAGATGACTTAATTTTTAACTATTGCCCAGATTATTTTGTTTGTAGAACAAGCCAAGTTGGTTTTTCAAATTATTTTATTACATCGATCAGATTGGCAAACAATGGAAAAAATATTCAAAATGTTGATTTTGATATTAGCTATCAAGTTAATGATAAAAATAAAACATTTATTATTAAATCACCATTTTCAAGTAAGTTATAATCTCCAATATATTTTATAATATAAAAAATAAACAAAAAAACAAAAATTCTAACAATTATTATTATATTTAGGTTATAATTTAAGTAGTAGTAGTTTTAATTTATCTTCATTTTATAAAAGTTTTTCTGGTTCTAAAGATTTATCAAACTTTTTAAAAATCAAAGGTGATACAAGTAATGGTATTGTTAATAATGTATTCTTAAAGTTTTCAAATAATCAAATTCAATCATTAACACCAGTATTGGGTACACCAGGTAATGATACCAATGGTATTGGAATTCAATTGTTCTCATATATGGGAAATTCGAATGCAGAAGCTATTCAATTAGTTTATTTTAGTCCTACTGGTCTTAGTGTTGCTAGTCAAATTAATTCACAAGAAACCATTGTCAAGCAACCAATCCTATACTCATCACTGATTGGGAGCAATGATTTTTATGATCCAGTTTCAGGTCTTCAAATGGTCACTTTAACATCAGATAAAAGTAACTATTACGAAACATACATAAATACCGAAAAATCTATTCAATTCCCATTAGGATTTACATCATCATCAAAGTCAAACCCAATAACCTTTACCAAAGAACTATCACTTGGTATTAGTCGACACACCGAAGGAACTAAATCTTTTCTTTTTGAAGATAAAACAACTACCGCTAGTTTTACTCCTACTCAAGGTCTTGATTATAAACCACCACAAATTGTATCTATGAAACTTAATTCAGTTGGTCTTGTATCAATATTACAATTTGAAATTACCGATGATGTATCTGGCTTTCTCTATTTAATGCTTTCAAATGGGGTTAAGATGGACTCTAGTTACTTAGTCGAAGGTACACTTTTAAATGGCAAATACGAATACATCTTTAATCTTTTAGATTTAGAATATCAATCGGAATTACGTGTATATAAAATTTGTGATTCAGCCTTTAATTGCTTTGACTTTACTACTTCTGCTCAAAAACTTAGTATTTATAATTTAAATACAGCTTCTTCCTTCCCATCATTAGGTAACCCCCAAGCCTCCTTAAATGATATCACATCATTCTCATTCAAACAAAACTCAATTGATACCACCAACCAAAATGTCTTTACCAGTGTTTATTTCAACATTTCAAATGCTAACCCACAAACTGACTATCCACCATTTTTAGAATTATTTAATGATGGTATTTCTTATTACGACTATAAAAACAACCAAGTTATTGACAAAATTATTTTCCAAGCCTATTGGAACTATGATATAAAAATGTACCAAATTGATTTTACCATCAGAAAGAACCAATTCACTACTGACGACTTTACTTATTGGTTAAACTATCAGGGTCAAAGATTATCAAATACTCTTTTACAATCTAAATTCAAATCAAGCGCCAAACTCTCTTTGTCATCAGACTATGCAGACACAATAGGTCCAATAGTTACATCGGTCACTCCACTTCAAGATAAATACGAAATTCCAATTACACAAAACTCCCCAATTAAAGTAGGCTGGAAGTTGAATATTCAAGATCAATTTAATGGCTTTAAAAGTGGTTATGTTCAAGTTGTTAGTAAAGAAACAGGTAAAATCTATACCACTACATTAACTCCAACCATTTTAGGTTCTCTTGAAAATGAATTTTTAGTTACAGTTGATGTTACTGGTAACTGTGTTTCACAAACATTTGCAATTAATCAAATATATTTAGAAGATACAGGTGGCTATGTAAGTTATGAAAGTTTAGATAGTTACTTTTACTCTAGTATGATCATCTCATCATTGGTCCAACTCAAATCATTACCATCAATCTTTGTTGATTGCGACAAAATTGATGAATCAGTTTTACCATCGCTAGTATCATTAAATATGTCCACTCAACAATTGGATGTTGGAGCTGAAAATAGAAATGTTAAGGTTTTCTTTGAAGTTTACGACAACAGCGGTATCGATAAATCCCAAACACCAATATGCTATTTAGAAAACATGGCCTTTAACTTCCACCCTACCAAAGCTCAAATTATTGAGTCCAACCATACCAATACCCAATTCCTTTGTGATATCCAAGTACCAATTGGCTTTGGCTATCAAGGTACTTTATTACTTTCCATCTATGGTATTTTCGACCACAGTAATTTAGTTGGTTTCAGCACAAAATATATAATGGATAAAGGTTTCCCAAGTTTTATTAATGCAGACACATTTACACTTTCAACACCAGCAATTTACTCTGTCGGTAAATTCTTTTCAAGCGACTCAAAGATTACAATTATTGGTAGATCATTAGAAGGTTCATCCATTCAAATCGATTATTTACAAGGTTTTGGTTTTAAAAACTTAACTGGTACACAACAAACACCATCTAATAGCAATAGCAACTCTATTTTAATCTCCACTATCAACAAGATTGGTTTCCCATTTGACATACGTATAATTAATTCAAATCAAGTTTCAAATACCTTTAGAGTCGAACCAATCATTTCGGGTATACCAATTAATTCAAATACAAACAATTCTGTTGAATGTTTAAGTGAATGTGGCGGCCCAGATCATGGTACATGTACTTCAAATGGTTGTAAATGCAATTTACCATGGACAGGTTTAGATTGTCTTTCCAAGATTTCTTTAATTGAAAACTATACACAAACCAACCCAAACAAACCAACCATTACAATCCCAAGCACCAAAGACGATCAACTCACCAAAACAATTGATATTTTATTATTAAGAGAAGTAGACTCCAGTAACACCAGTTCTATCTACAGAGAGTATACATTAAACTCTTGGGTTATTGTTGCAAATCAAACCAATGGTTTCAAATATACTGCCACCGTTAACAGCACACCCACCTACCCAACCACCATCAATGTATCAACTGTTTGGACCAGTATTAATAATGCCACAACCATTCAATATCAAGTTGACATCAGTGCATATTCTTTCTTAAGCAAAAACTCAGGTCTTCAATTAGTATTCTCAAACTCATTAGCTAAAGCATCATCATTTAAAGGTGTAGTTTGCTCCAGTGTAAACAACACAGCCGAATTACTCAACGCCAATATAATCGACAACAAATTGAAAATGAATCAAGATTCATTATTAAACCAAATTAGTTTAATAGCTTCAATAGATAACTCTCAAGGTTTAATTACTACCCAATTACTTAGCACTACAAATAGTATCTTAAATAATAATAATGGCACCAGCATAGCTAATAAAGGTGATTCAATTAAAAGTTTAATTGCTGTTAATATTCCACATTTTAATGTTATGGCCTCAGTAAATTCAAAATACTCTATCATCAAAGAATCAAAAACATTAACCTCTAAAGATTTATCAACTGTATGTGTATCAAAAAATGTTAAGGGTGGTTACACTGACCAAAAGAAAGCTGCCACCGCTATTGCTGTAGTTGGTTTCTTCATGCTTTCTGTAATGTTTTTATGGTTCTTTATTATTAAACCAAGAAGAGACGCAAAAAAATTATAAATTTAATCATGTTGCGAAAAAATTAATAAAAAATAATAAAAAATAATAAAAAATAATAAAAATAATATGTAATTTTAAAAATAATAAAAATAATCCTCAAAAATAAAATTAACAATAATTGAAATAATAAAAATTAGAAAAAAAATAATAATTTAATTAATTTATAGAATTCCTAAAAACTTAAAAAAAATAAATCAGGTCTGTGGAGGGTATCAAACTCTGACAGACAATAATTATAAATAATAAAAAAAATAAAAATCATAATAAAATTTTTTTTAAAAATTGGAGAAAACCAACCAGCCCATCACTAGTTTGTGCCAAACTTATTTTTATTTTTTTTTTCATATTTTTTATTATTTTTCGTAAAAATTCTCTTCAAATTTTTTTTATTAATAATAACTGAAATTTATAAAAATAAAAATATAAATATAAAAAATATAAATAATATATTATATATATATAATAAAAAAAATAAAATTATTTAAAAAATAAAATTATTTTAAAAATAAATAAATAAATACTAATAACATACAAATATATAAAAAAAAAAAAAATGGAGATAATAGAAAATAATAATATAAATAATGATAATAAAAAAGTTTTAATAGATACTGGTGAAAACTCACCTTCATCATCACGATGGAGAACCATTAAACCAACACAATATAATAAATTAACCAATGACGAAAGTAATAATGGCAATAATAACGAAAATAATAATAATACAGAAATTAATAATGATAATAAAAATAATAAAGAAATAATATTTATACCACCAACTGATATTAAACCAAAATTTGATAAAAAAAATTATTTACCGGATGGCCCAAAGGATGAATTAGATAAAGAATTTTTAATTGAACAAAAAATTATAGAAAAAGAAAGTGATAAAAAGAAAAAGAAAAAAAGTATTAAAAATATAAAGAAATTAGCAGAAAAGAATAATGTTGCGTCACAAGTATGGTTAGCTGTATACAATATTTATGATCATACTAATGAAAAGAAAGATATGAGTGTTGGCTTTAAATGGGCAAAGAAAGCTGCCGATCAAGGTCATTTCAAGGGTTTGGAAATTATTGGTTCATGCTATAGATTAGGTAAAGGTACTCAAGTCGACAGATGGAGAGCTATTGATTGTCTTCACAAGTCATCTGAATTGGGTAATGCCAATGCAAGTCACCAACTAGGTGTTCTATATTGGAAAGGTGATGCGATTATAGGCAAAAAAGATTTGGTCAAATCTTTTGAATACTTTTTATTAGCTGCACAGCAAAACTACTCACCAATGAGTGTCGCTGAATGCTATTTTAAGGGTGAAGGTGTCGAAGTAAATTATCCAGAGGCTATGAAATGGTTCTATATAGCATCAGTTTATGGTGAGGTAAAGAGTTTCAACTATTTGGCCGAGTGCTATTATAATGGATATGGTGTCGAACAGGATTTCTCAAAAGCATTTGAATACTTTAAAAAAGCAGAGATTTTAGATACAACCGCAACTAATGGTAATTGTTTAAATAGTCTTGGTATTTGCTATCTCCGTGGTCATGGTACTCAACAAAATTTAGAAACTGCAATTTTTTACTTTAAAAAATCAATTTCAAAGGGGAATGTTTCAGCTCAGAAAAATTTAGATTCAACTTTAGAGGTTAAAGAAAAATTAGATAATAGAAAAAGCTATACAATTAATATTTATAATTAATTATATAATTAATATTCAATTTTTTATTTTTTAAAAAAATAAAAAAATTAATAAATAAAAAATAAAAATAAAAAATAAATGATGTATATTTATTTTTTATTTTTATATTATGTATATAAATAATCATTTTATCATTTTTATTATTATTTAGTTTTTATTTTAATTAATACAATTTCTTTTACCCCTTTTTAAAAATTATTTTTAAAAAATTTGGTTTGTGCATCTTACCACATTTTTTGCAGATGTGGTATTTATTTGTTTTTTAGAATTAGGATGATTTAATTAATTAACACCAAAGTTTTGATTCCTTTTTATTTGAAAGCCTCAATATAATAATTTAATTGCTTTTTTAAAAATTAAAAATCAATAAAGACAACAAAATATTGAAATATCGGTTGAAAAAAAATAATTTTAAAATAGTTTTTTAAAAAAAAAAAAAAAAATAATTTTAAAAAATAAATTAAAAAAAGAAATTAAATAAAATAAATAAATTAAATAAAATATTCAATATTCTAAAAACTAAAACTAAAAAATTAAATAAATTTCAAATAATAATAAAAAGGTTGTAACTTTTAATTTATTTTTTAAATAAAAAAAATATTTAAACTCGATAACTTTTTTTTTATTTTTCATTTTCAATTCAATAATTAATCTGTACAAATACACATAATAATAAATAATATAAAATTACAATATAAAAAAATGAAATTAAATTTTCTATTACTTTTAACCCTTTCTAGCTTTGTTTTATTAAGCAGAGCCCAATGCCCATTTTCTAAAACTTCAGTTACAGGAGCCTCAGCCACATTCTATACTGCAATAAATAATGGTAATTGTGGTTATGAGGGAGTAACAGGTGCTCTTGGTCCAGGTAATACTATGATTACAGCTTTGGGTACTAAATTATATCAAAATGGTAATTATAAATATTTTTAAAATATAAATGATTTTATACTAATTATTTAATAATATTTCAGGAGCTCAATGTGGTCAATGTTTTAAAATTTCAAATTCAAAAAATAATTCAGTAGTGGTCATGGCTATAGACTCATGTAACGATGCTGGTTACTGCCAAAGAGCTAATCATTTTGATTTAAGCCAAGATGCATTTTCTGTATTAGGACAAACATCACAAGGGGTTCTTGATGGATTATCATATGTTAAGGTTCCATGTCAAGTAACCGGAAATGTTAAAATAATGATGAAAGATGGTTCAAACCCAGTAAGTATTAATATAATAAAAAAAAATATAAAAAAAAATATTAATTTTTTTTTTTTCAGTATTGGACTTCATTTTTAGTATATAACACAAAGGTCGCAATTAAACAAGTTTCAATTAAACTTTCAAACTCTAACCAGTTTATTCCATTAACTAGAACTTCCTATAACTATTGGCCATCAAATATTTCAGGTGCAAATTTTCAAATAAAAATTGAATCCATTGGTGGAGAGTTTATTTATGTTACTATCCCATCGGTTGTATCTAGAAAAGTTTATGATACTGCCACTCAATTCTCCACATGTTAAAAATAAATTTCTTTTTTTTATACATAATGTATTTTAAAAATTTTAAATTCTAAAAATAAAATAAAAAAGTTATATTCATCAAATGAACAAAATATAAAAATAAACAATGAGTTAAAATTTGATAAAATTTTATATTATTTAAATTTTTAGATACATTTTGTTTTAAACTAACTTCGAAATCATCACAACCCTTTTATTTCATTTAATATTTTACCTTTAAAAAAACCCTTATATATAGTTAATCTTTGTTTTAAAACAAATAGAAGTAAAGAAAATAATATCTCATCCAATATCCTCATTGGTGTAGTCGGTAACCCTCTAGTCTTTCACACTGGTACCTCGGGTTCGATTCCCGAATGGGGAGCTTTTATAATAATTTTATCTTTCGGGTGATTTTTAATGGATACATTATTTCCAAGAAATAAAAAAAAAGAAACACTGTTTAATTGTAACGTTTTTAAAAAGTGTTTTTTTAAAAAAAATTTTAAACAGTGGTCACTTTTAAAAAAAAAAAAAAAAAAAAATAAACAGTGTTTGAAATAAAAATTTATATGAAAAAACTGTTTTTTTAATGATTAATTGAAAGCATTTGTTTTAAAAAAAAAAAAAAGAAACACTTTTTAATGGTAACTTTTTTAAAATTTTTTTTAAACAGTGTTCCCATATAATTTTTTAATACAGAACACTGTTTTAAACACTGTTGCACTTAAAAAAAAAACATTGTTTCGAATTAATAATTTATATGGAAACACTTTTTAAAGTAATGTTAAGTAATAATTATTATTCTATATTAGAATACTGTTTAAAACAGTGTTCCGTAATTATTTATATTAAAAAAATAATAGCTCAATGGAATCCTGTTTAAAACAGTATTTAGAAATAAAAATTTATATTAAAAAAAATAATATTTTAAAATCACTGTTCAAAACAGTGTTCTAAATAAAAAAATAAAAAACAAAGGAGATTTAAAGAACATATAATTTTAAAGAAGAATAGCACTAGTATACTTCATCAACACCAAATCATTACCAAATATCAATATTTTAGAAAATTTTCTTTAGAAACATTAATTTAAATTTACCGATTATTTTAAGCATTTGTTTTAAAAAAAATCTTCACTTTTGAAAAAAAAAGATGACATACATAAAGCTAGATCTTAATTATCAACATTCTAACTTTAATATAAATATATTTATAAACAATAAAAATTAAGGTAATAATTTATTTTTAAAATTATACGGAACCAAAATGAATGTAATTTTAGCAGATTGAAAACAGTTATGTTCTCAAATAAAAAAAGTTTCAAAGAAGCAAAGATTATTCTTTGATATTAAATTGTAATACAACTTTTTTTATTTTATTTATATATTCTCATTATATCTTACTTAAGCCATTATTAAATTTGTACTTTATTTTATTTAGTATTAAATTTTTTTTTTTTTTTTTTTTTTTTTCAAACCATTATTAAAAATATTTAAAAAATATTCTTAATATAAGTATACTTTTGTTTTTTTCCATAACAAAAAATCTAAATAAAATCTAAATAAAATCAAAAACCCTGTTTAATAATTTTAGATTTGAAAAAAAATTCTTTTAAAAATTTTTTTTTTTTTTTTTTTTTTTATTTAATTTCTTTTTTTTTTATTTTTTTAAAAAAAAAAAAAAATCATTTTTTTTTTCTTTTTTTTATTATTTTATGTAATATTACTTATATCCTTACAATAACTATTTAGGTAATTTTCTATTATATAGATTTTGGGGTTTTATACCTTTAAACAAAAGGTAAGAAAAAATCAGTTTTTACCAGATATTTTAATTTTCTTTTAAACAATAATTTTTAAAAAAAAAAAAAAAAAAAAAGAAAAAAGAACATAATTTTAATAACGAATATTATCTTGTGTGTTGTCCATTATTTAATTATTATTTTATTATAACTATTTTAAAAAATATTTTTCACAAAAATAAATTTAAAAAAAAAAAAACTTTTCAAGCAAAGATAAATTTACCAATTCGAATCACTTCATATCAACCAAGATAAACCATCCTCATACAATCAACAATAAAAAATATTAACGATGTGATATTTAAAGTTTTTTTTTTATTTTTTAAATATTTTTTAATTTTTTTTTTAAATTATTTTTAAATTTTTTTTTAGATTTTATAAAATTTTATAATAAAAAAAAAACTAACTTAAATATTAACAGTGTATGATAATAGCAGTAGAGTATTATAAATAAAAAGTAAATTTTTTAAAAAAAACTCTGTATATAATTGTTCGGTTATATATAATAATAAATAATTATATATAATAACAATAATAATATTTCACACCTAACGATTTAATTAATTAATTTAACTAGAAGGAAAGAGAGAGAGAAGAAAAAATTGGGAGATTAATGCTCCCACTTTCTCACACACACCCATTATACTTATATTCTAAAATTAAAAATTCAAAACAATAATAATATCACACACACCTATCCCCTACACTTAAAAATCAAAACACACACACCAACACCCAAACAATAATTTAAAAAAATATATTTAAAATATTTTTAATCAATTTTAAAATATTAAAAAAAAACAATAGTAATAATAATAAAACATATTTATATTTATACCTTTAAAACAATTTATATATATTTCATTAAAATAAAAATATAATATTTATATTTTGTTTGTGGTTTTTCTTTTTTATATACATACAAGCACATATACACAGAACAAAATTATATTAAATAAATATAATCATAGTTGTTGTTATAATATTTTCTATTTACTATTAAAATATATTTATTTTTATTAAAATCTTAATCTATAACTATTCTCCTTATTTTTTATTAAAATTCATTTATTTTTGTTCAAATTTTTTTTTTTCTTTTTATATATCTTTTTGTATTATTTTTCAATAAAATAATTATTATATTGGTTGTTGTTTTTATTAAATTATAAATATTTTCTTTCTACATTATTTTTTATAAAAAATAATATAAAAAAAACTAAAGATATAAATCAAATATCACCAATAAACAATTGGACATACCTTATATTAAAACTACCCACTAAACACACCAAACACACAATAATTTTTTTTTAAGGAATCTAAATTATTATTTTTAAATTATTAATTTGTTTTTATTATTTATTAATTAATGTATTTTTAATTAATATTATTATTATTATTATTCATATTTAAAAAATAGTTTTTTTTTTTTATTTTTTATTTTTTAAAATAAAAAAAAATAAAATTTGTAAAAATAGTATTAAATAAATAGAAATAATAAATATATATTATTTATATTTATAGTAAAAAATGGAGGAAGAAAAAAACAATTCAGCAAATAATAGTAGTAGTAGTACAAGTGAATTAGAAAATAGTCTTAAATCATTAAATACAAGTGACACTATCAATAGTGAAGTCAATACAATGACACCAGTAGATGGAAGCACAACACCGGTTTATTTAGGTTTATCAGAGGTGTTATCACCCTTAAGAGAATTATATAGCTGTTTATATCTTGGTGATCTAAGGACATTAATGGCAAATAACGATCTATTATTTGAAGAATCTGAAAAAATTAGATGTATAGGTTTTCAAGAACCACATTTAGAAATTAACGAAAAAACTCAAAAAGTATTCATTTTAATATAGATATAAAAGATCAATCGATAGATAGATAGATTGATATATATAAAAATTTAAAACTTATTTCTAACTTTTCATTTAACTACTATTAGTTTTTCCAATATCAAGTATTTAATTTAGATGAAGATGAAGATATTTTATCAATCACAAAACAATTTGAACAATTATCGCAGTTAATTTTAGGTAGAACTAGTGAACAACCAGTTGTAATTCAAGATAGTTGTTATGGTTTAATTTTGGCAGCAATTTATTTCATAAAGTATGAGTTATTTTCATTACCACAAGCTCAAGATCTTATTGGTTATAACGATTTCTTTGGTACCTCTAAAAAGCATAGTCATTTCGACAAAGTAGATTCATGTACATTAATTAACGATATTACAACTTATTATTATAATAATATGACAAAAAGAAAAGTTGCAACATCCAGTGGCAATCTATCACAACTTTCAACTGCAACTACAACCACCTCTACCACCGCCACTACGACTACACCAGAACAAGTTTCAGATCAAAAAAGTAATAATAATAATAGCTTAACATCACCCCCAACCAAACCAAAGGGTCATGTTGGTTTATTAAAGAAAATATTTAAGGCCAAGGATAAAAAAGAAAAAGATAAGAAAGAAAAGAAGAATAAAAAAGATAAAGAAAAAGATAAACATCAAGATGCCGACAATGAAAAACCTCACTCTGAAGAAATCCTTGAATTATCACATGAAAATATTCCACCAGAAGATTTACTTAAACATCATTTGAAACAAGTTCAAATGATACAACAACAACAAATACAGGAACAAAAATTAGAAAAGGAAGCAGGTTCCAATGGTTTGTTAGAGGAGGTCGAGAATTATGATGATGGCAGTGAAAGATCAAAGAACCTCAAGACTATTATAGCACCAACATTCGAGAAATTACCAGATGAATATAAAACTATGGTCAAAACTTGGGACGTCAAACAAGAAGCAATCGATCAGCACTTTGAAATTATACTTAGTTTATTACATTTCCATACTAAGCAAAGATTCTATACAAAGGAACCAAATCATCATGATAAACCCAAATACTATAACATTGGAAAGGTATGTGGCACCCCAGCAGTTTCTCCCGACACCACTAGCTCTAGCAATGACCAAGTAGTTTCCTATTCAGCTTTCCAAAAGAAACCATTAGATCAAATTTGTAAAAGAGCTGGTGACATTAAAAAATTATATACCGTCAAAGAGAAGGTTGGTAAAGGTGGTTTTGGTACAGTATTTTTAGCTCGTAGTAACACTGATAAATCAAAACAAAGACTTGCAATAAAGAAGTTGCCACATGTCAAAAAGAAAGAAAGAAAGTTTAATATTAAAGAGATTAGGGTATTGGAATTTTGCAAACATCCAAATATTATAACCTTTTATAGCTCTCATATGCTACACAATGAAGTTTGGATAGCGATGGAGTTCATGGAGGGTGGTACATTGGCAGAAGCATCATCACAATATCCATTCCAAGAAAGTAATATCGCCTATGTTGCAAGAGAAGTACTCCAAGGTTTAGCTTATCTCCATAGTATTCAATTAGTTCATCGTGATCTCAAATCTCAAAATATTATGATGACCACTTCGGGTGAAATTAAATTAATCGATTTTGGTCTTTGTGCTAATCTATCAAAGGGTGAAAGAATAAGAATGTGTGGCTCGCCCATTTGGATGCCCCCAGAAATGATCCAACAAAAACCTCATGGTTTTACTTGCGATATTTGGAGTCTTGGTGTTTGTTTATTAGATTTGGCAAATAGAAATCATAGACTACGTAAAAACCCAATCAAAACAATGTTTATGGTTGGCAGCGAAGGTATGAAAGATCCATTCGAGGATCCAAATCGTTGGAGCGATACTTTCCATGACTTGATTGGTAAGTGTCTTCAAATTGATCCACATAAAAGACCTTCTGCTCAAGAATTACTCAAACATCCATTCATTGAATTGGCTGATAATAAAAAGAAAATGGGTAAAATTTTATCCTCAATATTTTTAAAAACCATTGTTGGTATTTAAAAATAATAATAATAATAATAATAACAATATAACAGTTTTTTTATTAATAAAATAAATAATATAAATAGTAATTACTATTAAACACATATAAAAAAATAATAAAATAAAAATTAATTGTAAAATAAAATAAAAACAAATAAAATAAAGTAAAATAAAATTAATTTTATTAGTTTCTTCGATATTATATTAAATATTCATTATCCTTTTTAATTATTTTTTAAATCTATAAATAGTTGATTTATTAAATTTATAATTGAAATAAAGGAATATGCAATTTAAATTTCTAAAAAGGAATACAGTTACTTTTTTTTTTAAATCACTTAAACAACCAATTGAAATTTAATTTATAAAAAAAAAAAATAAAAAAGTGATTATTATGTGAGAAAAAAGTTGTGTGGGTGGGTGATTTAAAAAAATGTATTTTTTTTTTTATTTCTAATTTCTTTTTTTTTTTTTTTTAAATTAAACAAATATATAAAAAATCAAATTATTTGCAATTGTTTTTTTTTTTTGTTTTTTTTTTATATTTTTTCCCTATTCCCAATAAATATATAAAATTAACTCAAATAAATAGAAAATTATTTTTATTTTTTATTTTTCTATTTTATTTTTTTTTATTTTTTTTTTAAATAAAATTTTATTTTTGTTTTAAATTTTTTTTTTAAAATTTTTTATTTTTTATTTTTTTTGTTTTTTTTTTTAATTTTTTCGATACCTACATTGTAGTATTTCATTTTTGTAGTGTAATAATACATATCCAACTTCAAAAAACTATAATAATAAAATATTAACATTGTTTTAATAATATAGTAGATATTTTTGGTGTAGTTTTATTATTGCTTAAATAACAACAACGCAACAACACAATACAACATTGATTTGCTTTATTTATTTATTGTTCAATATAAATATTTATAAATTATAATTTAAAAATAAAAACATATGATAAAAAGAATATACTATTAATAAATAATTTCATATATATAAATAATAATCATAATATAATAATAAATATAAATAAAATCAACAAAAAAATAGATATTAAAAAATGAAGAAATTTTATTTTAATATTTTATTTTTAGGAATAGTTTTATCATTGTTTTTAAGTTATGAAGCAGGTGGTAATGGTAAGTAATATGCGTTTCAAAATATGTTAAAAAACTTTTATTAACAATTATATAAACTATTTAGTTTTAGTTAATGGTAAGAAAATAAATAAAATTCCAATTAAAAGAGATCATGATGACAGTAGAAATGGTATGATAATAAATAAAGATGATTTTTCAGCATCATCATTCTTAAATTTAACATCAGGATCAGAAAATGATAATAGTAATAGTAATTCTACAAACTCAAGCAGTCACAATAATAGCTCATCAGAAACATCAGATAGTTCAAAAGATCACCCAAGTGATAGTGGAAGTCATGATAATAGCAGCAGTACACACGATAGTAGCGAAGGTAGTCATAACGACAGTAGTCATCCAGATGATAGTGGAAGCCATCATCACAATAATAGTAGTTCTCATGATAATAGTAGTAGCGAAGGTAGCCATCATAACAGTGGTGATAGTGGATCAGCAAGTAGTAAAGATGGATCAAATAGTGATAATGGCAGTGAGGGCAGCAAAGATCAAAGTAGTAGTAGTAGTGGTAGTAGTAGTAGTGACCATGAAAGTAGTTCAAGTAGCAGTGACGATTTAAAATGTCAAGCTTGTGAAAAAGGCTTTTTTGCAAATAAAACAGAAGAATTTTGTAGGGATTGCGAAACAGGTTCATGTGAAGATAAAGATAAATACTGTACTAAATGCCCAGTAGGTTATTTTGGTAATACAAGTGGATTGGCTGAATGTCATCATTGCACACCAGGTTATTATACAAACAATAGTGGTTCAGTAGAATGCACAGTTTGTGCTGATGGTTGGGTTGCACCAAGTAATGGATCAGCTATATGTCTCCCATGTGATAGTGGAACAACTAGTGATGAAGATCATATAGAATGTAAGGCTTGTGAAGCTGGATCATATTCATACACTGGATCACCATGCGAAGAGTGTGCACCTGGTTCATATTCTTTACAAGCATCTCCATTTTGTTCTTTTTGCACTCCAGGTACTTATAACACTTATGGCGGCCAAGCATCTTGTGTAGAATGTAATATGGGCTTCTTTAATCCAAGCTCTGGTTCAAGTAGCATTGATAGTTGTATTAGATGTCCAGACGGATCTTATTGCCCTTCTTCTGGTTTATCTCAACCATTACCTTGCCCAGAAGATAAATATTGTATCAGTGGTGCTATTAACCCAATTCCATGTCGTGTATTTTATTCATCTGGACTAGGTTCAAAAGTAAAATGATCAATACAAAAATATAGTAATAACAATAATAGTTTACTAATTATCTTAATTAATATTTTAGGAATGTACACCAAATAGATGGCTTTATATTGTAATTTTTGGAAGTGTTGGTGTTGTTTTAGTTATAGTAGTTTCAATTTGGAGATATGTTCAGGTTCAAAAATATAATAAATTAAGAAATATATCTGAGGTTAGCAGATTAATACCAAAACCAAGCGATGGACCAGAATATGGCGGTTTCTAAAAATTGAAATAGCTGTTGTAGTTTCTAAATTGAAAATACATCAAAGTTAAAACAAAGAAAAAACAATAGTAACAATAATAATAATAATAATAATAATAATAATAACAAAACAAAACAAACAAAACAAACAAAACAATCACAACAATTATATTGATCAAAACTATTCGATTTTTTTTCATCATTATCAAATTTTTATTTCCTTCATTTTAAAAATTTTCACTAATTGTAATTATTTTTATAATGTAAAAAGTAAAGACAAACGAAAAAATTGTATAGTAAGAAACAAAAATAACAAAAATACAAAAATAATATTTAAAACATTTAAACAAATAAAGTGTACATTAAACATCAAATTAATTTGTGTTTTTTCGCTTTTTTTTATTTTATTTTTTATTTTTTTTAATATTTTTATTACTTTTATTTATTTTTTTGGATTATATACAACTTGATTTTTTATATTTGTGAAATGCAGTTATTTGGTGGTTATAATTTGAAAAAGTTTGATAAAATTTGGGATATATAACTTGCAAGTTTAATTTGTATTTATTATATATTTTGCATTATATTTTATGTTATTTATTAATTTATATTTTAGTTTGTAATGTGTTTAGCAACTGGAACGCCAAAATAATCAACAAAAATAATTCTAAAGTATTTATTCCAAACTAATGAAAAGATACCATAACCAATTCCAAAAGCGATACCTTGAGTAAAACCTTTTAAGAGAGATTTCTTGTATTTCTCGAGTAATTCGTTTTCGTCCATTTTAAATAATAATAACTTATTTTAAAAAAGGGTGTTTCTTTTTTAATAATTAATAAAAATTTGAAAACTAAAAAAATGAAAAAAATATTAAAAAAAAAGAAAACTAAAAAATTTAAAAAAATAAAAAAAAAAATTTAAAAAAAAAAAAATAAAAAAAATTAAACTCATGAGTTCATAATTTATTATTTATTAAATGTAATTATTGTGTGTATATGTAATTGTGAGAGCAGATTATATTATTCGTTTATTCGTTTTTATTTTTTGATGATGATGAGGATTGTTGTTGTGATAATGGTAAAAATAAGTGTTTGATTGTTAACCAATTGTTATCCCATGTGTCATTTTCCCTATCTTTGATTAGGTTCTTTCTCAATCTTGATATCATTTGGTCACCATCTTCATTGTCATCGTTTTCATCGCTTCTATTATGGTCGAAAATCTTGTTGAGTAAATGATAGAGGCCTTCAGAGTTTTTAAAGAGGAAACCATTGTAGTTGGGTTTAACTAATTCGCCAATACATTTAAAGTCGACTGCTAATACTGGTAAACAGCAGCCAAACATATCTACTACCTTCATTGGTAAGTCTATACCACTGCTACTATTATGCAATGATATACCCATGTCGCAGCATGCTAATAATTTTGGATAGTCTTCGGAATCTAACCAAACTGTGATGACTCTTGATTTCTTTAATAACAATTCGGAAATTTTCTTTTCATACATTTGCTTTTGTGGTCCCTTACCAGTGATAATAAATAATAAGTCATCGGCATTGTTATTCTTTGATTTTACAACATGCTCTAAATCATATTTTACGATTGCGTCTAAAAGAATTGAAAAATCTTCATCTGGGGTCCATGATGTTGAGGATATAATAATTGATGTGTTCTTTTCTTTTTTATTTGATCTTCTCTTTTCAATAACATTTTCAATAAACTTTTTATCTTGGTCATAAATCTTGTATTTTTCGATAAATATTTTTAAAAATTCGATTTGATCTTTATTATTTAAATGTTTGAAAATTGGTGAGGCTTTATCGTGGAATACATAGGTTTTACCTCTATTATTTATAAAAAGAAAAACAAGATATATGATTAGTTTATATTTTTTATAATTTATGTGGTTAAAGGCAGAATTAATATAAAACCATATTTACTTTAAGTCCCAATCTCTAACCAATTGGTTTTTCATTTCTTTGGTTACAAATAAATGGGCATATGCATTCTTTGCGAAAAATCTTTCAATAAAAGTTGCTATTCTGATGATTGGATGAGATGATGGTTTATTTAAAGATAGTTGGAGTAGAGTGTAGCCGAGATTGTGCCAATCAATTACCAAACGAGTGCCTCTAATCATGCACACCATTTGCATGACAAAGATAGTTGGTATGGCTGGTGGACTTTGAACTAAAATTGTGTTTAAAGGAGTAGGTACTCTAGTTAATAATACTGAAAGTAATTGAAAAATTTGGAATAGTACTTTATAAATTGCAATAAATGGCCAAAGTAGCATAAGTAGTGGTGCTTTTTTACGTGCTGAAGTTGATAGTGAGATTGGAAATGGTCTTAATGATTCGATTGTTATATTTTCATTATTTAAAATTTGTGGATGTGGTTCGCTCTCTCTATAACCGATCAAAGTTACGTGTGTATTTGGTAATTTCGATAATGACATTGAATGATATTGCATTCTTGGTGATCTACCAATATCGCCTAAAACAACGACTGCAACATGATTTTTTTTAGTATTACTACCCATTTTAAGTAATAATAGTTTTTAATTTATAATTTCATAAAATCATTTAATGAAAATAAAATTTTTTTTATTTTTTTTTTTTTAAATTAAAAAAAATTTTTTTAAATTTTTTTTTTTTTTTTTTTTTTAAATTTTTAATAAATTTTTTTATTTTTTCATTTATTTTTTTATTTTTATTTCAATAGTTCAACACTTTTAAAATCTAAATTAAAGTGGTTGCTTGTATATATTATTTTATTATTATTTAAAATAAGACAATCATAAAGCAATAAAGCTATTTTTAAATAAATATTGAAAAAGAAAAAAAATAATAATCACAAAAATAAAAAAAACCCCCAATCAATTTTTATTTTGATAATACTTATAAAAAAATGTATAACTTTGTTTCAACTGTACAAAAATCAACTGCTGTTACACATTCAGTAACTGGTAATTTTACAGGCCCAAATGACAAGAATTTAATTGTCAGGTAAATATTTATATGGTTTAATTTCAATTTTTCATTAGATATCAATATTAACTTCATTTTAAATTATTATTATTTCATTGTAGTAAATGTACAAAAATTGAAATTTTTTTAATGGATCAAGAGGGATTAAAACCAATGTTTGATGTAAATATATATGGTAGAATTTCAGTATTAAAATTATTTTCAGCAGGTGGTAAACAAGATTATTTATTTATATCAACAGAAAGTTTCAAGTTTTGTATATTAGCATATGACAGCGAAAAAAAAGAGATTGTAACAAAAGCTTCAGGAAATGCAGAGGATACTATTGGCAGACCAACAGAGGCAGGTCAATTGGGCATTATCGATCCAGATGGCAGATTAATTGCACTTCATCTATATGAAGGTTTATTAAAGTTAATAAATATTGAAAAAGGATTAAACAACCCAATTCAAAAGACTGCAGCAAATACACGTTTGGAAGAGTTACAAGTAATGGATATGACATTTTTATATGGTTGCAAAATTCCCACCATTGCGGTACTTTTTAAAGATACAAAAGATGAAAAACATATTGTAACCTACGAAGTCTCCCAAAAAGATCAAGAACTATGCCCAGGTCCATGGTCTCAAAGTAATGTTGGTGTTTATAGTTCAATGTTGGTTGCTGTTCCATTAGGTGGTGTTTTAGTTGTCGCAGATAATGGTATAACCTATATGAATGGTCGTACTACTCGTTCAATTGCAATTCCATATACCAAATTTTTAGCATACGATCGTGTAGATAAAGATGGATCTCGTTATTTATTTGGTGATCATTTCGGTCGTCTTTCTGTATTAGTATTATTGAACCATCAACAACGTGTAACTGAATTAAAATTTGAAACACTTGGTCGTACAAGTATCCCAAGTTCAATTAGTTATTTAGACAGTGGTGTAGTTTTTATTGGTAGTAGTTCTGGCGATTCTCAATTAATTCGTTTAAACACAGAAAAAGATCCAGCCACCGATAGTTATATTAGCCATTTAGAAAACTTTACAAACATTGGTCCAATCGTTGACTTTTGTTTAGTCGATACAGAGAAGCAAGGTCAAGCCCAAATCGTCACATGCTCAGGTACCTATAGAGATGGAACATTAAGAGTTATTAGAAACGGTATTGGTATTGCAGAGAAAGCATTAATCGAGCTTGAAGGTGTTAAAGGATTATGGCCCATCAAAGAAAATGATCCTTCAGATCCATTAAATCCAAAAGATCAATATTTGATCGTATCATTTATTGGCTATACCAAAGTATTACAATTCCAAGGCGAAGAAATTGAAGAAACTGAATTTGAAGGTTTAGATTCAAACTCATCAACTATTTTATGCTCCAATATCGATAAAGAAAATGTTATTGTTCAAGTTACCAATCAAGCAATCAATTTGATCAATCCTATCACATTTAAACGTGTTGATCAATGGAAATCTCCAAGTGGATCACCAATTAATTTAGTATCAAGTAATCAATCTCAAATTGCCCTTTCAATCGGTAAATCATTATACTATTTCGAAATCAATGAGCAATCTCGTATCGAATTAATTAAAGAGATTGAACTACCACACGAAATTTCTTGTATTGATATTTCGCCATTGGATAGCTTCATGGATTCACGATCCCAAATTTGTGCAGTAGGTTTATGGACCGATATTACTTTACGTCTTTTCAAATTACCAACATTAGAAGAGATTCACAAAGAACCATTGGGTGGTGAAATTATACCAAGAAGTATTTTAATGATCTCTTTTGAGGGTATAGATTATATATTTTGTTCATTAGGCGATGGCCACTTATTTAAATTTAAAATCGATATAGCAAATAATTGGAAATTATTTGATAAAAGAAAATTAACTTTAGGTACACAACCAATTATATTAAAAAAGTAAGTGTTTATTTTATAATAAATAATAAATAATTTTAATTTTAATATATATATTAATTCTAATATTTTAATTTTAAAATAGGTTTAAATTAAAAAATACTATAAATATTTTTGCATTATCAGATAGACCAACTGTAATTTATAGTAATAATAAAAAATTATTTTATTCAGTTGTAAATTTAAAAGAGGTCACTAATGTTACATCATTCAACTCTGATGCTTTCCCAGGTTCAATGGCAATTTCATCAGAATCATCATTGATTATTGGCACCATTGATGAAATTCAAAAACTTCATATTAAAACTATATCATTAAATGGTGAAATGGCAAGAAGAATTGTCCACTTGGAAGAATATTCATGCTATGCAGTTATTACAATCAAAACTAATGAAGATATTATAAGTGGAAATGGAGAAAATGCTACAACTATTGATGAGGTTGAAGAGGAGGTATCCTATGTACGTTTGTTTGATGACCAAACATTCGAACCATTATCATCATTTAGATTAGAACACTACGAAATGGGATGGTCACTAACCTCAACCAAATTTGATGATGACCCATGTACATATTTAGCAGTTGGTACATCAATCAACATACCGGATCGTCAAACAAGTGGTCGTGTATTATTATTCAATATTAATGAAGCCAAGAAATTGGTATTATTAGAAGAAATTAGTTTTAGAAGTGGAGTACTCTATTTACACCAATTTAATGGTCGTCTTATTGCAGCAGTCCTCAAGAGGTTATATTCCATCAGATATAGTTACTCAAAAGAAAAGAATTGTAAAGTAATTTCAAGTGAAAATGTACATAAAGGCCATACTATGATCCTTAAATTAGCCTCTAGAGGTCATTTCATGTTGGTTGGTGATATGATGAAGTCGATGAGTTTACTAGGTCAATCTGAAAATGGATCATTGGTTCAAATTGCCAAAAACCCACAGCCAATTTGGATTCGTTCAATCGCTATGATTAATGATGATTATTTTATTGGTTCAGAAACTAGCAATAATTTCGTAGTAGTCAAAAAGAATAACGACTCAACCAATGAATTAGAAAGAGAACTATTAGATAGTGTTGGTCATTATCATATTGGTGAAAGTATAAACTCTATGCTTTGTGGTTCATTAGTACGTTTACCAGACTCAGATGCTCCCCCAATTCCAACAATACTCTATGCCTCTGTTAATGGTTCCATTGGTGTCATCGCTTCAATTTCCAAAGAAGACTATGAATTTTTCTCAAAGTTACAAAAAGGTCTTAATCGTGTAGTTAATGGTATAGGTGGATTTACTCATGAATCTTGGAGAGCCTTTTCAAATGATCACCATACAGTCGAATCTCGTAATTTCATTGATGGTGATTTAATTGAAATGTTCCCAGATCTCAAGATTGAATCAATGGCAAAAGTAATTCAAGATATGAATGTAACTTTAGATGAAACTTTAAAAAGAATTGAATCATTAATGCAATACATTCGTTAAATTTAATAAATAATAATAAATAAATAAAAAATTATTATTACCAAAATAATATAAAAAATTAAAATTATTACCAAAAAAAATAATAAATCTATAATAAAAACACGTATAGTTTTAAAACTATTGTATAGTTTATAGTTTATTTATTTTTTTATTTTTTAAAATTTTATTTAATTAGTCACACACCACATTAAAAACCCATATTGTTTTTTTTTTTTTTTATTATTTTCTTAATTTGTATCACACACCATTTTATTATTTATTTTTTAATTTTTCCTTTTTTTTTTAAATTTCTAACTCACCCCACCACATATTAACTCGTATTAAAATGGAATTTTTTGCCCAATTTGTCAAATGTGTTTAAATGAACTAGATAAAGGTTTTATTAAAATTTATAAATTTTTTTATTTTCTTTTTTACTAAATAATTTATATTAAATAATTTATTTTTCTAAAAAAATTTTTTAGTATTTAAACGAAACCAAAAACTTTTTATTTTCATTCAAATATTAATTTAATAATCAAAACATATAAATCTCAAAATGCATAAAACATCAGTTATTTTTTGTGTCGCTCCAGCTACTGAAGATACCGACATCAGAGAAGTTGAAACCAAAATCAAAAGCATCAAAATGAAAGGTTTAACATGGGGTAATTATACAAATAAAAATTAAAAAACAAAATTTTAACTAAATTAAAAATAAATTATTAATTTCATTTTCTTTTTTTTTTCATAATAGGTGATTGTAAAAAAGATAAAGATATTGGTATTGGTAAACTTAATCGTTTAAAGATGTTAGCTGTCGTTGAAAATGATACTTCAGTTGATGAAATTGAAGAAAGAATTTCAAGAATGAAGGATTTAGTTCAAGTAAGTTTTTTAAAAGATATAATTTAAATTATAAATATAAATGCTAATATTTTTTTTTATTTATTATTTAGTCCGTTGATATTGAAGCCATGTCTGAAATCTAGAGTTTCAATCATTAATTCCCCTCAACAGGTAGAATTAATAACAAATAACTTTATAAAATAAAAATTATAGTTATTAATTAAAAAAAATATATTATCTTATTTGTACACTTTTTTTTGTAAATGAATAATTTAAAATTATTTAAATTATTAAATGATCTTTTTTATTGCTTTCATTTTAAATTAAAATGATTTAAATAAATAAATAAATAAATAAATAGTTTTTTTTGGGTTTTTTTTTTTTAATAAATAATTATTTGTTTTTCTATTACTAGTTACCACCCTTTAAAGATTCTGTTTTGGTGGGAATAGTTACCATTTAGTTTTGGGAATAAGCTGCTCTGGCAGTAATGGAGTGATGTGGTTTTTCGTGATTGAAAATATTAATACCAGCTGGTTTAGATTTCATTGGTACATCATTTGATTTTGGTTCTGGTTTACCAGATCTCTTCTTTTTAATAACATATGCAGCACCTGCACCTGCAGCACCAAGAGCGGCGGCACCACCTACAGCAATACCAACAATAGCACCAGTTGAAAGAACAGCAGCAGCAGTTGCAATAGCTAATGAAGCATCAGCACCACCATACATAGATTGGAATTCAGCTTGAGATAAATCTGAATATTGATTTAATTCGACTTTAAAAAAAAATATAATAATTAGTTTTTATGATAAAAAATACACTGCATAAATTTTAATAAACATACATCTGGCATTATTTGATGGATAAGATTCAGTGATAACTGGGTCGGCAGCAAGAAGACTTCTAGCATTTAAAGCTGCTGGTTCTTCTTCATCAACAGTGAAAACTACATCAGGTTCATTGTTTTGGGCATTTAACTCTGCAATTTTTAATAAATTTTCCTGAGTTGAAAAAAAAATGTTAACATTTTTTGGGTTTTTAAAAAATATAAAAATAAATTTTAAAAATTATAAAAAAAAAATTTATATAACACTTACTTTCCATGCTTGGAATTTACCTTGCATTTCACCAGAAGTATAAAATACACCATAGTTATCCATCCAATTCAAAAAAGTTTGATATAAAATACCATCATCAGGAACATCTTGACAATTTGATAATTGGCAAGTGATGCCCAAAATTAATAAAATTAATAAAATAATTTTCATTTTTAATTTTTTATTTTATTTTTACAAAAATAAAAAAACAATATAATATACAATATAAAATATAAAATATATACAAGAATAAAAATATATTAATAAAAATAAAATAATAAAAAAAAAATAAAAAAAAAAAATGTAAATTTAAAAAAAAAAAAATTTAAAAATAATTGAAATCGTTTATAATATTTTGTTTTTAAAAAAAAAAAAATCATAAAAAAATAATTGTTTTTATTAAAATATAAAAAAAACCATCAATTGTAAAAATAATATTCATAGATTTGGTATGTATTCTTTTTGCCCATTAAAAATCAAAAATCACATGGTTTAAATCAGTCAAAATCTCACAAACCCAATCAAAGGTACCATATTTATTATAAACAATTGGCTTTTTGGTTTTTTTGTGCATGCTATTTTAGATATTTAATCGATTTGTTTTAAAAAAAAAAAAATATTTTAAAATTATTTTTATTTTAATTATTTTTAATAAAGAACACAGCACTTTTTTTTTTTTTTGTTTATTTTATTTTAGTTTATTTTATTTTTAAAATCAAAACTATTTATTTATTTTTTTATTATTTATTTATTTTGTATATATATATATTTGTAAAAAAAATGAAAATTAATAATTTATTAATTTTATTTTTTTTAATTGCATCATCATTAATTGCTTTAATCGAAGGTCAATTAACAGCTGCTGAAAAAACTACTATTATTGCAACACATAAAAAATGGAGAACCACTCCAATTGGTCCAACTCCAGCCACAGCACTCACAACATTAGTTTACAATGAAACCATTGCTTCAAAGCTTCAAACCAGTCTCAATAAGTGCGATGGCACATTCTCAACTATGAGCAGTTATGGTCAAAATAGTGAATGGCAATCATGGTGGACACCATACACCTATTTCAATTTAAATGCAACTCTTTCAAATATCGAAAATGGTGGTCATTATTACGATTGGACTAATAAAAAATGTAACTCAACTTCAACTTTTAACTGTAATCTTTATACCTATGTATGTATTTTTATCTATCTCATTAAATTTTTTTATGTGGGTTTTTTTTTTTTTTTTGTGTGATTTTCGATACGATGACCTTCACCAGTTTTTTTGTATGATTTTTTTTTTTCATTCTTTGAATCAAAAAAAAAGATATTTTTAGAAGAAATTTAAAAAAAAAAAAGTCAAAAATTCGTAAAATAAAAAAAATTAATTAATTAATTAATTAATTAATTTATCCCAAATCTCGATAATGGGTTCAAAGAAAAAAAAAGATTTTTTTTTTTTGTGCAAGGGTTTGGATGGTGCCATTAGATTTTTTTCCCACCGTTTTTTTTTTTAATTTTCCATTTTGCTAATTTATTTTTTGTTCCTTTTATGAAACGTAACAGGCTATTTGGTCCAAAACAACCTCATTTGGTTGTGCTAAAAGTGTTTGTCAAAGTTCAAATAAACAAATAATTAGTTGTTCATATTACCCAGCTGGTGGTTTCAGTGGGGTTCTTCCATACACTCCAAAAACTACTACCCCTGCTCCAACATCCACACCAAAACCAACAACCCCTGCTCCAACTACTCCTCCTCCAACATCCACACCAAAACCAACAACCCCTGCTCCAACTACTCCTCCTCCAACAACTACACCAAAACCAACAACCCCTGCTCCAACTACTGCACCTCCAGTATCATCAAAAACTGTCGATTGGAAGAACTATTTAACCCCAGTTAGAGATCAAGGTCAATGTGGTTCATGTTGGTCATTTGGCAGGTAAATATCTTTGTTTTTTAAATAATTTATTATTAAATTTTTTACTAATTTTAAAAAAAAATTTATGAAAATAGTGTTGCTGCTATGGAGTCTAGATATTTAATTAAATATGGTACTGCTTTAAAAGCTACACTTGATTTATCCGAACAAAATGCTGTTTCATGTATTTCAAATGGATGTAGTGGTGGTTGGTCATCAAATGTATTTTCATATTTCCAAACTCCAGGTATTGCTTATGAAAAAGATGATCCATACAAAGCCGTTGATGGATTGGCCTGTGTTACTTCAAGTTCCGCTTCTAGATTTAAGTATGCCAGTTATTCATACACTGCTAATAATAAGGCCGCTTTAATTGCTGAGCTTAAAAATGGTCCAATTACTGTTGCATTATATGTTGATAGTGCATTCCAAAACTATAAATCTGGTATTTATAATTCTGCAACTAAATACACTGGTGTAAACCACATTGTATTATTAGTCGGTTATAATGAAGCTGGTGATTATTGGGTAATTATTAATTTTAAACAATAATATTTTATTTTTATTTTTACTAATATAATTTTAATTTAGACCATTAAAAACTCATGGAATACATGGTGGGGTGAATCTGGTTTTATGAGATTAACCGCTGCCAATGATAATCTTTATTTATTAGGTTACAACTCTTACTATCCAAAATTCTAAAAAACCTCAAAAAAATTAGATTCATTAATAATTATTAAATTATTAAAGTAAATTATTTATTCAAACCTATTTATTCGCCAAACCTATTTATTTATTTATTTATTTATTTATTAAAAACTTTAATAAAAACCTAATAGCCAACATTATAGATTGGCTATTCACACATAAAAAAAAAAAAAAAAACAATAGGTTGTTATTTTATAAATAATAATAATTTTATTTATTTTTATTTATTAATTTACTCTTCGTTAATTGTGGGGGTAAGTGAATTTACATCTCCTATTGTATTAATAATTGATTTTTTCGTTCCAAATAAAGTTAATTCCTTATCACCATTCGAGTCCAAACAGTGACTGTTTATATATCCTGTTAATGGTAAAATATTTCTTTGTATAAATAATTCGCATTCGTGAAGGTCGAAACTGTTTCTATCAAACTTTAAGTTGACGATGAAATTGTTACAATGATTTTTTTCCAACCATTTCTCTAAAAGCTTTAATGTCTTCATTGGGGGAACTTTCATATCGATGATTAACCAATCAAATGTACCAACTGGGTCAAACTCGAATGCAGATTCTCTAATGAAAATTAAATGGTCTTGATCATTATTTTCATCTATAAAACGATGGTCTAAAGGGGCTTTATCTATTGATACTACACAACATCCTTGCAAAAGACTGAATAAAGTCCATCCACCTGGGGAGCTACCTAAATCGCAAACTGTATCGTTAATTCTCATCGATGGGAATTTTGGGAACCTAGTGAATAGCTCTACTAATTTTATAAATGATCTTGATGGAAGAAATGTTGAGACAATTGAATCGAATGACATAGATTTTATATATTCCTTTTCTAAAGATTGTGACGGATTCATAAAGTTTTTGATTGCTTGAATGTGAATATGTGATTGTGAGAGCTGTGGTGAAAATAATTTGTACATATATTGTGAAAGTACGCCAAGTAAAGGTTTGGCTGTTCCTGATGGATAAATACTTGTCATCTTTTTATAGTATTGATACATGGTTGGTGTCATAACACTAATATAACCTTTGTTGGCACCAACAAACATAATTTGGACCAACGCTTCATCGTCAAATAATCCTATGGGTCTATTACCCGATGCCTTTAATGAATAAGAGTGTGAAAGTTCTTTATAATGTTTCTTTTTTAAATACTTGAGAATTAAAGATTCGATTTGAACACGTTTGTTGTTTGGTTGTAAGGCTGAAGTTGGTGTTAATAAATGAATTCTCCAACGTTTCCATTTGCATGCCCTATAGTTACTAATAATAAACTCGCTTGCTTTTTCTACCCATGCTTGAAGTGAGTCCTCATCGACTTCAATTGAATTTGGTAAAATTTGTTTAGAGAAACCAACAAATGGTTGCTTGGAACTATTTAAAACTTTGATATTATGCTTATTAAATTTAGTTTGGTTCGTTATAAAATCTCTATAAACTTCTGGACTAACATTTCCCATCACTAAATTTGGATTCTCTTTGTTTATTTTCCAACCTGATTGCGGTATTGCAATTCTTAACTGCCTAATTACATCATCTCTATGACTTGAATCTTTAACTCTAACGACGGTGAGCTGCTTATATACAACATACTGTTTTGGGTTTAAATATATTTCGTTCTTTATTTCATCGGTTTTATCTACAGTTATTTTATTTGATATATCTTCTATAATTTGATTGTTTATTTTAAATTTTATTTTATTTTCTTTTGATTGAATACTATTATCATTATCAATATTATTATTTTCTAAATTATTATCTAAACTATTATATATATTATTATCTATACTATTATCTATATTGTAATCTATATCTTTGTCATTGTTATATAGTTCATTATATATATCATTATCATCATTTCTTTTATTATGAGCCAGACTGTTATCAAAATTATTATTATCATTATTATTATCATTATTATTACTATTATTTATATTCATATTACTTTCCAAAATGTTGTCATCATTTTGATCGATTTCGGTTTGAATTTCATTTTTTAAAGGTGCTAATGGTTTTATATTTGAAAATACTGAAACATCTTTTAAGTCTAAACTATTGGTCAATGAGATATTTTTATTTGGTGTATGAATATATTGACTGTATTTATTTCCTTTTCTAACTTTAGATTTTGATGTAAAAAATCTATTTTGTGGTATATTATAATTTGTGGTTGTGGTTGAATTTATAAATTTTAAATTATTGGAAATTTTATTAATATAATAGTGATTGGGTGATTTATTTTTTATCGTAGTTAAAAATCTACTCATTATTTATTTTTGCTATAAATATTATTATAATGAACAAATAATAATATTCATTTATTTGGTATAAAAATAACGATTATTTATTTGATAAAAAAAAATTATTTAAAAAAAAAAAAAAAAAAAAATTTAATTTTAATTTTTTTTTTTTAAATTTTTTTTTTATATAAAAATTAATAATTATTTTTTTAATTTATTTTATTAAAATAGTTATGCTTATATAAGAAATAAAAATAAATATAAATAATTAAATAAATAAATAAATAATAAAGAATTTATTAAAATAGTATTAATAATAAAAATAATATAATAAAATAAAATAACTAAAATTTTAGTATTGCATTGGATATTATTATTATTATTAAAATAAAAATAAAAATAAAAACATATGTATAGTATATCAGTAATCGGAGTTTTTATATTTATATTCTTTGCAATCATATGTCAATGGGTATTAATATATGAACCTTTAGATTTTTATAATAAAACAATTGGTCAATTTTATATATTCATATATCATATATTATCAGCGTTATTAATACATTCATATTGGAAATCAATTATAACACCACCCGGCTCCCCCGATACAAATTGGATACCCGAAGGAAAAACAAGCGATGATTTAAAACTACTAAATGAACAATTTAGAGCAAAGTCAGAAAATCATCACACCTTTTCAAAATCAACAACTGTATATGTAGATGATGATTTAACAACAATAACCGTAGTAAATAGTAAAGGTGATAAAAATAATAATAAAGCAAGGTTTTGCTCAGTATGTCTTACTTTCAAGCCTCCTAGAACAAATCATTGCAAGCAATGTAACAAATGTATATTAAAACAAGATCATCATTGTCCATGGATAGATAATTGTGTTGGTATGTATTTTTTCTAAATTTTTTTTTCTAAATATTTTTTTTTCTAATATCATTTATTTTGATTTATTAAAGGTTTTAGAAATCAAAAATTTTTTGTTCAATTTTTATTTTATGTAGTTATAGTAACCTCAATTTCAATTTTAGCACTAATAATTTCGGGATTTTATTATTTAAATATTAATTTACAACAAGATGTATATATTTTATTAAAAGAATTATAATTTATACAATCCCTCATTTTATTAACACTGGCTTTTATTATTTTAGGTAGATGATAGTTTAGCAGCAGTTAAGACACCAACAAAAAATAAAGAAGAAGAAATATTCTTTATAATTCCAGATCCTTTAATTACAGTTTTGTTTATACTTAATCTTTCAGGTTTAATTCCAGTATTTTTAGGAGTTTTAGGTCTTTTCTTTTATCAATTGGAATTCATATTATATAACTATACACCAGTAGAAAAATATCCAAGAAAGAGCCAAGGAAAATATGCTAGAAAGAATGGTTTCAAATTTAAATGGAGATACGATAGAGGATTTAAGCAAAACTTTAAAGATGTTTTTGGAGATTCACCCATCTATTGGTTCCTCTCTTTGGGATACCCCAAATCTGATGGCACTTACTTTAAAGAAAATGAAATCTACAAGAATCAACAACAAAAAATTTTAGAAACGGAAACCAAACGTCTACTATCCACATCTAAAAATGGCGCCTCTGTTGACCTAGAAATGGAAGAAAGAGATCCTGTTCCTTATTCTGGTTATATAGAGAATGTATAAAAAACAAATTAAATAAAATAAATTTTTTAAAGTTTTAAAAAAACTATAAATTTAAATAATGCTTTTAATTATTTATTAACTATAAAAAATGAATGGCCACTACCGGTTTTTACAAAACTATAGTCCCCAGAACCTTTAATTGAAGGAAGAAGCTGGGGTATGGATTTATTATCGCCATCTTTACCAGGTATTACCACTTCACACAGGCCCAATTGGTAATGTTCATTCCAACCAACCGAGTAGATATCGTTGTTTTCTAGCTGAATAAGTACATGCTCGGATCCCATTGAAAAACTACTGATAGGCTCACTATTGAATGGTTTACTTTTTAATACTTTGAATATATTTTGAACAGATAGATCCACGGTCAAATCCCTTTCATCACCCAATATTCCATATTCTCCACGTCCGCATAAATATAATTTACCCTGGTTTGTTAAGAAACAACTATTACTCCAGCCACATTGAATTTCTTTTACAATGACACTGCAATCACCATCGTTTAATATAGGTTCTATTGGTATAATAACTGGTTGCGATTGGTCTGTTGTATTTCCATTTCCCAATTGGCCATATCTATTAAAACCAAATGTTATCAGTTTTTTTTTAGTGGTGTCTAGTAAAACTGTATGCTTGAAACCACACGATATTTGCGATACCCCTTCCCCACCAAATTCTAAAAGCTTTGGTAACTCCTGTAAAACACCTTGCACATTATTTGATAACTGACCAAACTTGTTACAGCCCCATCCATATACTTTAAAATCGCTTGATAATACAATAGAGTGTCTCATACCACAAGACACTGATATAATTTTAATTTTTTCATTTATAAAATAATTTATATTTATTGGGTTAAATTGATTTTCTTTATTAATATTATTTATTATCTTTTTTTTAAAAACTATTTTTCTTTTTACTTCAGTGTTACTATTATTATTATTATTATTGTTACTATCTATTTTAATTGGTAATTGTTGTGGTTTTTTTTCTTTTTCTGTAGTATCGATTGCATTGAATGTTAAACCTAATTGGCTATGTGAGTTTGATCCCCATGAATATACAAAGCCATTAACATCACAGGCGAGACTATGTGACCAACCACCTGAGCAATTTTTTATTTTTATTGAGTTGTTTTTAAAATAATCTACAGGTTGAGGAGTGGTTATATATTTTTGATTTTCTAATAACTTGAAACCTAATTGACCACAATCATTCGAACCAAATGTGTATAAATCTCCGTCATTAGCCACCATCATTGTATGTGATCCTCCACCCACAATATCATTAACTTTTCTAATTTCGTTATTTGATAATAATACTAATGATGGTGAACTAACACTATCATCAGTATTACCTAATCCCAACTGACCTAAATTACCTGAACCCCCTATATTATTTTAAAGACCATTAGTATTAATTCTATTTAATTTATAATCATTATTTAAAATTACATGAAAAAACTTTAATTTCATTCATTGTTAAAAAATTAAAAATAAAAAAAAATAAAAACAAAAAATAAAACAAAAAATAAAAAAAATTAAAAAAATAAATTAAAAAAAAGATAATTAAAAATAAAATAATATCATTCTCTCTAGAAAAAAAATCAAAGGATTTGGATATTTTATTTTAGAACTCATTAAAAATAATGATTTTACAAATAAATATTAATTTTTTAACCATTAATATAATAATTAAAATAAAAAATAACCATTATTATAATTTATAAATTATTATAATATCAATTATATGAAAATTCTGCTTTGAAATAAAAACATTAATTTTAATAACTTGTTATGTTAATTTACAATAACCCTATTTTTTGTTGAAAAAAAAAACTTGGTGAAATATATTTTAAATATCATGTATGTGGTCACCATTAAATCTAAATAAAAATAACGAAAAATATAAATAGATATTAAATAATTTGTAATATTGTGTACTTAGATTTTTCCTTTTTATAATAGAATTTTGAAACATACCCCCAACAAGATACCCCCGCCACTTTATTTTTCACACACCCACTAAAAAAAAAATAAAAAAAAAAAAAATAAAATTGATATTTATTACCCTATATTTTTTATTCAAAAATAGTATAAAAAAACACAACAAATATATTGCTAAACCCACACGCTCACACTCTCCACTCAGACTCTCACTCACGCCAAGCACCCTATTTTTTTTTTTTTCGAAATCATTCAAGTGCAATATCAAACCTACTCCTAAAATATGCTCTCAATAATAAAAGTGAGAAATAAAATATTTATTAAATAATATAGGTTATTTATTTTTATTCTTTAAATAGTATTGATATAAAAAAAAATAATAAAAAATAATAAAAAATAATAAAAATAATAAAAGTAATAAAAAATAATATAATAAATAATTAAAGCATTTTTTTTATATAATAATATTATAGTAAATATTGTACTATTAAAATTTAATTAAAATATTTTAATAATAAAATATATATAATTAAAAATATATATAATTAAAAATAAGATATTAAATAAATATAATAATATAAAATAAAACTGTTTTTTTTAAAACAATTATTTTATCTTTTTTTTTTCAGTATACAAATTAATACAACATAACAATATACCAATAGTTAGAAAACCTTTTTTAATCTGATAAAAAAAAATAAAAATAGTGTATGTGATAATAAAGATATAAAAAAATATTACACCCCAATTTTGTTTTTTTTTAATTTATTTATTTTAAAAAAACAATTTTTCATTATTAAATAACAACAATTTATTCAAAAATAATAAAATAATATAAATAATACTAATATCAATCATTTTATTTCTTTTTTTTTTTTTTAAATTTTTTTTCATATTTTTTTTTTATATAGAGTAATATTTATTTTATTATATTTAAAAGAATGGGAAATTATCAAACCAAACCAAGTAAAGAAGAGGAGAAATTAATAAATAACTATTATATTAATGATAATGAAGTTGATTTAATAAACTATAACATTGCATTTTATAAACAAATATATGAATTTAATTATTTACCCGGACACATTATATTAAGAATTTTCTCAATTGTACAAAATAACATTCAAGAACTCCCATCCCAAGAATTTTTTAATTTATCAATAGTATGTAAACTTTGGAGATACTATGCATTCCACTCTGTAATTAAAATAAAAATGGTTCCGGAAAGATTGGAATCATTATTAATACCATACAAAACATCAGTATTGGATAATGCATTTTTATCAATTCAGTGTATGATCAACAATGGCTCAAAATTAAGAATAATTGATTTTTCAAATATAGAAATAGACAAACCAAGAGCAATGTTAATATCGAAATCATTTGTAGAAAGCAAATCAATTAGGGCCCTCAATTTTGAATATTGTTACCTTGACTCCGAGGCTGTTATAGAATTATGTAAAGGTTTAGAAAAGAATGAATCTGTTAAAGATTTGGACTTTAATAATAATAAAATTGGTCCAGAAGGTGCGATTGCTATTGCAAATATGCTAAAGGTTAATAAATCAATTGAAACCATCAATCTATCGCACAATGAAATAGGAAATCAAGGAGCAATAGTTATTGGTGAAATATTAAAATCAACAAAAAGAAAAGTTAAAATGAATCTTTCAAGCAACCATATCGGTGATGAAGGTGTATTGGCAATTGTAAAAGCAAGACAACAAAATAATAATGGTGCCAAAACCTCCTATGTCTATAAGAGTGGTTTAACTTTTAAAACCATTAATGGTAAATCCACTGTGGTTTGCCCTTAGGTGAAATAAATTTGTCAATAAAATAAACTACACAATTATTAACATAAATAAATAAAAAATTGTAAAAATAAAAAAAACTATAAATACTCTATTTTTTTTTTTTTTTTTCGTAAATGATATTAAAATTTGTAAAAAAAAATATAATTTTTTTTTTTTATTTTTTTTTTTTATTATATATATAAAAATATATATATATATAAATATAAATATTATAATTATTAATATTGTTGTTTTAGTTTAACTATTAATTATTAATTTAAATTATTATACATTATTAAAAAAAAGAAAAAAAAAATTAAAAGATTATTAATGCAATAAAAATTTTTTTCCTTTTTTTTTTTTTTTTTTATAAAATTATTTATATATTATTTTACCATGTGGAGTTAGTGGAACAAATAGTTTTAAAAATTGCTAATCTTTTTGATGAATCTTCTTTTTTAAGAACTGGTTGTGAAGATTTTAATTGATTAGTTGGAGCGGGAGCTGAATCTTTTGGGGCAGTTGATGAGGCTTCATCACTACTCCATGAATTTGACCAATGTAAAGTGGTTGGGTGAGATGGTGGTTGTTTGACTGGAGATGATTCTTTTTGGGGTTGTTCTTTATCTTGCTCTTTTTCTTGTGATTGCTGTTGTTGTTGTTGTTGTTGTTGCTGTTGTTGTTGTTGTTGCTTTTCTTTTTCTAATTGTTTCTCTTTATTTTTTTGTTGTAATTCTTTATGTTGTTGTAAAATATATAATGGAGTTTGAAGTTGTGGAGAACTGTGTTGTCGAATCATTTGAGGTAATTGTTTAGCAAGAATTTCATTAGCAAATAAGGTTGGAGTTAATTGTTGAGTGGATGGGGTGTTACCATTGTTATTTAAAGGAATACTGCCTGATGGTGAAATATTACCACTGCTACTTGATAAACTATTCATCATTTCTGGATCTCTAGTATGTATGAAACGGCAACGGGCACCATAAGGACAACTTCCAACTGAATAGAAAGTTTTGCAAGCTTCAGTTTTATATTTTGGATGTCTCATAACTGGACGAAGTTCATCTTTGCCATGAGCAAATTGGCATTTTAATCCATATCTGCATACACCAGTTTCTGCAAATGATCTGCATAACTCTGTTTTATATCTGTTTTGACCAGTTATTTCATCCTCAATATCATCTTGAGATTGGTGAATGAATTGTTGATGTTTATCATTTTCCAAATCTTGCTGTTGTTGTTGTGATTGAAGTTGTTGTTGAATTGATAATGGTGGCTGAATATTATCTTCACTGTAAGCTTTAACTAATCCTCTTCTTGGTGGTTGAACCAATGAATCACTTTGTGATAACCAATTAGTTTCAGATTGACTTGTGATGTTTATAAACTGCGAATTTTTGATTGATGAAGGAACCTTGAGTGGATCAAATCCCATTGTGCCAAACTGTGATGTTATAGATGATACTGTTGGAGTTGATGGTTGAGTGGCAGTGGTGCTAGTGGTTGGTGGTGTTGTTGATGATGAAACTGCTGTAGTCGAAGCTAGGGTTGATGATGGTTGAAAACTATTTGTGCTATTCTTTAAAATGTTTCCTGATGCTTTTAATGGATTACCATTACTGTTGCCACCTTCCCAATTTATAGCGCCATTACTAGATGATTTCCACATTTCGAAACCAGATGAATTTAAAAATTGAGAAGAATTTGAAATTTCTGTCATTTTTAATTATTCTCTATTATTTTATTCGTAATTATTTTTTTTTATAAAAAAAAAAAAAATTTAGTGTTATAAATTATAATTTAACAATTAAGCTATTAATTGCCTATTGGTTGTATATTATTAGTTATAGTGAGCTATAGTATATGTATTATAACCTTATTATATTATTGCTAAGAATATACTATTAAATAATTTTATATGAATTGGTTATATATTTATTTTATAATTATTACTATTATATTATTATTATTAATGTGTGAAAGATATATAAAAGACAAGTTAATTTTTATATGATTTATAATTTATAAATATATTTTGGGTATAATGAAAAATAAGTGAATGAAAAATACTAGACTATTAATATTTTTTTACTACTATTATTGCTATTATTATATTTAAAAGAATAAAAACAAAATAACAAAAAAGAATTATACGACTTTATTATTGGTGAAGAAAAAATAAATGTATAATTGGGGTGGTGAAGAAAAAGAAAAAAGGAAATGAAAGTAATTGAAAAAAAAAACAATAAAAGAATAAACGAAACAATAGAATGTGTATATATTATTTGAAATTGAATAAATAATAAATAAATAAATAATTTAAATAAATAACTTTAAAATAAACAAAAAAAATAAAATTGTCAATTTGAATAAATAAATAAATAAATAAATAAATAAATAAATAGTTGTTGTTGTTTTAAAAATATGTTGCTATTGGCTGAATTGTTTCATATGAGATTCTCTAAAAACATAATAAAGAAATTTATATTATTGATAGATATATAATTGTATCTGCTTAAAAGTAAGAGTATTAAATTAATATTTGTATATTAAAAAATTTAATTTGAAAATAATAAAAAATAAAAAAATAAAAAAATAAAAAATTAAAAATTAAATTAATTTAAATTTAAAAAAATAAAAAAAAAAAATAAAAAAAAAAAAAAGACAAATAAAAATTTAATATATATAATATTATATATAATAATTATTATTAAAAATATTTATGATAAAAAAAAAAATAAAAAAAAAGAATAAAAAAAAAAATTATAAAAACCTAAAAAATGAAACACACAGATAGATGCAAGCATATACACCTTTATCTGTCTTTGAATATTTAAATTAAAAAAAGAAAGGAAATAATAACAAAAACACAAATCTACCAATTCATTATGACTAAAGAAAATGAAATATAATAAGA